TACACCAAAATGTCATCGAAAAATACCAGCACGAATTTTCTCAAATAGGACCGGAACAAATCATTCATGACCGCTTGAAAAGTAGCCGGCGCGTTAGTTAACCCGAATGGCATCACTCGAAATTCATAGTGTCCGGTGTGAGTCCGGAAAGCGGTCTTATGCACATCTGTTTTAGCCACCCTCATCTGGTGATACCCGGAGCACAAATCAATTTTAGAAAAAACCACAGCTCCTGCCAGCTCATCCAACATATCTTGAATCACCGGAATGGGGTATTTATCTGGTATAGTCGACTTATTTAGTTCCCTGTAATCCACACAAAAGCGTCGGCTGCCATCTTTCTTTTTTACTAACAATACCGGACTGGAGAATGGACTGGTACTGGGCTGAATGATGCCAGCCTGAAGCATCTCATCAACTAATCTCTCGATCTCATCCTTTTGTAAATGTCCGTATCTGTACGGCCGAACCGAAACTGGTTTCGCCCCGGGAACTAACTCGATCTGGTGGTCTCTTGAGCGTTGCGGTGGCAGCCCCTGTAGGTCGCTAAATACTTCTGCTTATGTTCCCAGAATATCATCCAATGTATCCGTCGTAGCACCCGCCATTTTGCTAGCTTCGCGGATGAGGACCACTGCACCAAACTCCTTATTGGTTGTTTTAAGAAGAGAACGTAAGCTTACTGCATTTTTACACATGGAAGGATCCCCTTTTAACTCTACTTGCTTGTCGTTAACCTTGAACTGCATGGTTAACTTGTTCCAGTTTGTTCGCACTTCCCCGAGCGTTGCTAACCACGCAACTCCTAGTATGAGGTCCACTTCAGCTAACGGAAAGACAAAACAATCTGTTTTGATAGCACATCCCGACAAGCTTATGGGCAGCTGACGGCATACTCCTTCGGATTCTTGCCGGTGCCCGTCTCCCAATTGCACTCCAAATTTACCTGTTTTGTCAGGGGTGAGGTGCAGTAAAGAAACCAGCGAGGATGATACAAAATTATGGCTAGCCCCACTATCGATTAGCACTGTGGCGGAGCACCCTTTGATGATCCCGCGAAGCCTCATTGTCTGGGGACTAAAAATGCCAGCCATGGCATACACCGGAAAGTCACTGTTCTCGCCATCAGGGGGTTCTTCATAAAGTGGCAGCTCTTCCTTCCCAGTTATTTCGCAATAGTCGTGCTGCTGGAAATCAAATTCTTCGTCCTCCTCGGCAAGCATTACCCTTAATTGTTTAAAAGGGCAATCGTGACCCGGAGAGAAAGGCTTCCGGCATTTAAAACATAATTCCTTGGCGGCAATTCGTCTAGTACCTTTGTGGGCAGTCGGATAAATCGGAAACGTTCCGTGTTTTGCCCGGAAGAACCGGTAACTGCTGCGGCCGTGCGTGATGTGGGTCCCGTCGGTTGACCCGTGACCCTTGGTATGCTGCCACTGGGATTACGCGGGCTGCTGCTGCCCGTACTCGGGAAAAACCCCGGGTTTGACCTTGGGTAACTACTGGGACGTGATCCAGAAGAATATTGATTTGTTCTCCCTTTTCCACCATTCTGAATTAATAGCTTATGTTCCACCCCGTGGGCCAATTCCATAACAGTCTCTAGACAATCTAGACGGAGTAAACACAGTGAGCACTTTATTTCTTCCTTAAGCCCGTTCATATAGTACCCCATGTAGTGATCGTCGGACAATCCGGGGACTTGGCTGGCTAATTGGACAAAAAGAATATTGTAATCTTCCACTGTTCCGTCTTGTTTGACTCCAGAAAGACGTTCAAATCGGTTTCCTTGGTATCGGGAATCAAATCTAGTCACCAGGTCTTGTTTGAAGTCGTCCCAACACAAATTGGGTTTGCGTGATCTTAGCCACGTAACCCAGTAAAGTGCTCCTCCTTCCATGGCCACCATAGCGGCAACCACCTTTTTCTCTGGTAGGGTTGCCTGTAACTCAAACTGCTGCTCCACCCGGGCTAACCAACTGATCGGGTCCCCACCATCAAACGTGGGAAGTGGCGTCGGAGAGGAAGTGCGACCTTCCCCGTCGCTATGTGGCACGATCAGCGTGCCGATGTTGGCACCCACCTCGTCGCCGATCGGCGATTTGTGCGGAGTTAACGCCTTTGTTAACGCGGCCAGAGAGGACGCGATCTCCTCCAGTTTCGCCCCGTGTTCTCCGAGTGTTAGGTTCATTGTTTCCAGTTTCGTACCATGATCGTCGAGAGTCTGGTTCGTCCGGATCTGTTCGGCCCCCAAGCGGGCGACCTCCTCTCCTATTCGACTTTGTTCAGTTTCCAATTCTTGCAAACGTTCACTTTGAGATCTCGTCATTGTGGTGGGACTCGATCTGGCAGGTCGGACCAAATTGATAAAAACAGAAAATAACAATCAACGGTAGCAACCGTTGCCAAAAGCTTATAGCTTAAACACCCAAATTCTTATTGATAAAGCATAGTTTGCAAGCCCTCTTAGGGGGTATAAATAGACCACATGTCCTAATTAAAGAAAAACTCCTATATTACTAATATTAGGAAATAAACTGAAACTAGGAAACTTATTAAAAATCAATAACTAATTAATAATAATTCAGCCACTAAACTGGTCGTCCTCAGCCCACGGATGTGGGCCCATCCCGTCCACGCCGTCGGTAAACAATCTAGGGCCTATGGCCCGACTCTTCCTCGATCGCTGGCTCCCCAGGGGTGATCGCGGTCTGCTCCGTATCATCCTTCCAGGCTGTAAGGACAATTAGGTTTGGTCACTTCGGTCTCTTCCATATTATCTGATGATTGTCCCTTCGATTGGATAGTATCCTTGTCTGATTCCAGAACAGAAGTATCTGCTTGTTTACATTCCAGATTTGGTGTCAACAATAAAAACCCCTGCGTAGAAACTTGAGACAACTTGGAAACCTTCAACGAAATTTGCGATGACCATTGGTTATGCTCATTTAACCGTGGCGAACTAGAGGCAACTGTTATAGCCTGAGACGAAGCTTGCAAACCCAGCGAAGACAGTAGCGATGAATTCTGCGAAAAAACATGCAAGCTGGGAACATCAGCTTCGAATTTCGAATTGGACTCTTGTGCTCGCGACGATGCTGACGAACTGAGAGAAGAAGTTTGCGGCCAATCCTGCGAACTCACAGAAACAGTTCGCGACTGCGAACGGTGAGACGAAGTTCTCGACTTACCTACAGAGGACCTGGAGTCACGGCTCCCATTCCGCGCACTCGTTTTGGAGGTTTTTGATCGACGGCTAGAGTGGTGATCAAGCTTCTTCATAATCAACTCGAGCAGCTCATCGTGATTTCGCTTGGCCTCCTCACTTTTGCACTCCATGTCCGCGGACCACCTCGTCAACTTCATAGGTAAAATGGTGTTCTATAGTCACTTCATCCAATTGAGTCACAAAAGTAACTCCATCCATAACTATTTTGATTAATACTCATCCCGGCGCGTGAAATAAAAACTTCGTGTTTGATAAAAAAAAGTTAGCTGATAAGCTAAAAGCATGGGTTACTAAACAATATTTCAATATTTCTCACCACGGTTCTAAAATATTTCAAAGAAATGAAAATTCGAGTATCTTTAAATTTACCTGTGAGCATTAGTAAAATTACAGGAAAAAACTACATGTATTTGTGGGTTTGAATGAGAAAATGATGAATTTAGAAAAGAATGAGAAAAAAATCCACTCATATTACTAGTAGAAGAGTCATGGACATAAATAATACTAAAGACGACTTATTATTTAAATGCTAACACAACAATTCCCCTGTTCCAATCTTACCCCAAGGTATAGCTCTATACCCGCAAGCCCTGTTCTAAAAATCGGCCTAGTCGGACCGATTAACCGGTCTAGGCGGCCTAGGCGGCCCTAATTGTAGATTCCTAGTCGGTAAAAAATCGGCCTAGTCGGCCAAAAAATCGGCCTAGTCGGCCGCCTAGGCGCCCCCAACCGCCCGACTAGCGCCTGGCGAGTTTTAGAACAATGCCCGCAAGTAGATTAGACTCCATTTTCACCCAAAACTCCTACCGACTACCTACCCGGCTACCCTAGCGTGCTAAGCTATCGTTCATTCCTATCCCTTCTACCATCTTCTTCGCAACCCCATGTATGACAGTTTCTCCGTAGAGCCTTCTTAAAACATGTAATTTAATATTCAGTGCACACAGTAACTACATCATACAATACTATACCTAAGCCACCTTAATTAATTGATTCATTGTCCATCAATTACTACCGAGTCAATTACTAAATCACAAGTTACAACTATAATAAAGTTACTATATAGTTTGTATTATATTTATTGCTCACACAAAATCTCCAATGGGAAATAATACAAATGAAACCAAACTATTGTGGCCTGATTTCTATTCCCCTAAATAAATCAAAAACATTGTATCATGACTCACAAAGTAATTTATTTGCATCACACCAATATGTGAAATCAAACCCACCCTCAAATACAACTTCAAGTAACTCCCGCAAATTAGGTCTGGATCTAAAAGCTTGGTAACCGTTGGGGTAATCACGACATTTTATTTCAGGAAAATTCTTAGTGTACATGAGTTGTACACAACCTGTACACAAAGCCCACACAGCTGTCTGTGTACACATGCAATTCGTTTAAAAAGGGGCATAACTTGATGTCGAATTTCCCGTGTACACAGGCAATGTACACATTTTGTGTACATTTTGTATACAACAGGAATGGTCCCTTATTTTATGCTCTTTCCACCGTGCCTACGTTTTTTATTGAATATTTACTTCTAGTCACTTTTTTGTCTAACTAATTAGTAATGGTAATGTATTAATAGAAACTCAAATAATAATATCAAGGTACTTTTGTCAAAATGGGTGAAACATAAATATTCCTTAAATAAGTTAGAAAGGAGATATGCGGATTTTATAAAATGAATTTTAGATGTTTAATAAAATGAATGAATTGCAATACAAATACAAGAAAAAGGATTGGAATTGGAATTAAATATATTATCTTTGAGCCGCCTCGATCCTCCTCCTCGCTCAGTTGAGTGAGTCAATTCTAGGTGACGGAGCACTGGTTCTTGGGCGGGTGAAGCAAGCAAGGCAGATGGAAGAGGAGCTGAACAGCCATCCCTCCGATGGACAAACGCGAAATCCGGCGGCTTATCCTAGCGGCGTCGGGCTTGGTGAAGGAGCTGAGGCTGAGCTGTTGGTGAAGGAAGCCAAGCCAGAGAAGGAAGAAGAGAAACGAAGAAAGTGAGCATTCCATTCACTAATTAAAATCAGTTCCCACACCGACCAAGCCAGAGAAGGAAGAAGAGAAACGAAGAAAGTAAGCATTCCATTCACTAATTAAAATCGGTTCCCACACCGACGCCGGATGGCTGAGCGACTCCTGGCTGGGTCTATAAATACAAGGGTACAGTTGCAGATATACTCACCCTTTGGGACTGACCAAGTCCCGCTGGGTTGGGCTGGCCACCCTTTGGGGCCGGCTCTGGCTCCCTCTTTGGGCGCCATTAGGCTTAGGTTAGGTAGGTAGTTAGGGCTAGGCTTAGGTTAGTTTAGGCTTAGGCTTAGTTTAGGCTAGCTTAGGTTTAGGTTAGGCTTAGGGCGGTGGGGGCGTTATGCTGCCTCCATGCCGTCCTGGGCCGCCCGGGGTGGCGTTATGCTGCCTCGCTGGCGCCTCGTGGCGCCAACCCCCCCGTGGGGGGGGGTAGGGGGGGGGGCAGGAGGATTATGGGGGGAGTCGAGGGGAGGTAAGAAAGCGGGGAAAGGGGAGAAGAAGGGGAGAAGAGTCGAGAGGGAAAGTGAAAGAAAGAAATAGAAAATTAAGACAATTAAATAATATTAATTAATTAATTAATAATAATAATTAAGTTATTTAGTTATTATTAACTTAATTAATTAACTTCATACGTGTATGAGATATATAATAGCCTCATAGATATATAATAGCCTCATAGGGATGTCTAGCCAAAGAGGAAGAAAAAGGAAAATTAAGAGGAAGCAGAAGGGGAAAATTAAGACATAGGAAGAACACTTGCAGCTGAAGCTTCTCCTAATGTCAGCTGGTACCATGGGCCAACTTCAGCAATTCTAATTATTTTCACTTCATCTACTATTGAGTTTCTTCTTCTGCAAACTCGTGTTTTTGTGTTGAGTGTATAATAATAGCCTCATAGGTACCATGTATTACTCATGTTCGCTGTTTATCTACACATGTGACTTTTCATAGTCATCATGAAAACGAAAATGAGTCGAGATTTATCCTGCTAGGAATTTTCTCTCAACACCAGTGTCTTCTGTTAAATACAATTGAGCTTGACGATCAATCAGAGGCCACCTTAATTCCCATCCAATCTTAGCTTTGAGAAACTGCCTGGGAAGTTACAATTCCCATACAAACTATCCATCTTAGATTTATCCACAGTCATGTATGAGTTGTGAGCGGTTATGATGATGGGTCTCTTGCTTGGCTTTCAAAGTAGACAAACTATCGTTCTCATAAATTTGAGACTGTTCAGGGTTTGTCAGTACGATAAAAGAATTGATGAGCCCAGATGACCCTTCACTTTAAATGATCGTTTCTTCAGATCTCCTTTCACCCCTTTCCTTTGCATCAGTTATCAATACAACCCTGTCTAAGGCTATAACACACCTTTCCTTGGAAACTCAGAGCAACATTTTCAATTGTCATTATTTTTTTTTACTTGATGTGTCATATTTTTTGGTCCATCAGTAAGACTTATCTCTTCAAGTAACACAGGTTTTGAATTCGAGCTGGAATCTGAATCAACCCTTTTCGCCCCTTCTGGATTATCGGGGGGATATCCCGTGGATTGAATAATATCATCATTTTGAAGGTGATTATGTCGTCCTTATGCTGAAGTTCGCTGGTGAGTGGAAAACGATTGCCAAATTTGCGTTTTGACGTAGCTCAGCTGCTCAAACGTTGATAAATTTGAAAGTAGAATTTAGAATTGTGCCCTTCTTTCTATTACCTTAGGGATTACAAATGAGTGGGAATGGTGCACACAGACTGAAGTTCAAAGCTTCGCCACAGTTGAAGAAGATGTTTCCTTATTTGTATTAGGGGCTGTAGGGAAGGGGGGCGGGATGGAAGCAAGGAATGAGAAGAGGAAAGCTTCAGCTGCCTGTGTAGTAGTAAAAGGGAGGTGGGTAACTACCTACTTGTTTGTAATGCTGGAACTGCTAGTGTACTAAAAGAATAAGGGCACTACCTACTCGTTGGCAAATGTACTATAGTGTGATGTTATCTGCTTAATTATTGATGTAGTGATATTTTAGAATTAGAAATTACCAGATATGGGAGAAAAGAGAGAACGAAGGAGACAAAGAGATTGGGAGGAGAGATAGTCTGCGATTTTTGTCCCTTTCCCTATTTGCTCTAACCGTATTTGTAGGAATGGGGGTGGGGACCCCTACATAACAACCCACTTGCTAATATTAAAAAACTGAATTTATGTTTATTACATTATAGTTCTATTAATAATTTAGCTATCAGGAGTCTTTTAGAGGCCCAACTAAAAATAACAAGTAAATCACGACCATATATGACAATTCTCCCCTCTTGAGAAAATCCTTGTCCTCAAGGATTGGTAGGTGGTATGGAATTCCCGTAGTTGGCTGAAGTCGAGCAACTGGCAGTGGATTCTTCCTTTTTTTCATGTGACAGAAACAAAGCGGGCGACACACTGGCCCTTTCAGCATTCTTACTAGCTCTTGCTGGGGTTGGCAGAGGAGCAGAGTTATCATCTTGGTTAACCTCTGGGAGCTGTGATGCCACTATGCCACTACTGCGTGGGAACTGATGCAACGCTTCAGTAAGGAGACATGGAAATCAGGGTGAATCTTCGCTTCTTCAGGCAAATCTAGACGGCCGGTAAGCCACTTTCCCCACCCTTACCAAAACAGTGTACGGACCATAGTAGTGAGCTGATAGTTTCTGATTTCTGCGTTGAATTGAATTTTGTCGGTAAGGTTGTAACTTCAGATATACTTGATCCCCTATTGCAAATTCTATGTCTACCCGTGTGTGCCTGCATAAAGTTTCATTCTTTCTTGTGCCAGCTTAAAATTTTCTTTGAGCTCCTGTCTTTTTTGCTGTCTTTGGGTAATTAGTTCCCAAATTTTAGTACTGGTTCCTGTAGAGTTGGGGTGTTGTGTCCATATGTTGAGACCATCCTGCAAACTCAGAGAAGAATTCTGCGATTTCGAAGAGACTTGTGCAAGGTGAGAAGCAGTTTGAGAAGGATTCTGCGAACAAGGATCTTCTGCTGGTGACGAAATCAGCGCATTCGAGGTCACCTGTGAACTAAGGAGTTCTGTTAGGGATGAAGTTGAAGCGACTTGGGATGACATCTGATTTTCAGTTGGCCGACGGAGTCTAGGAGGGCTCCTCACTTGGCCTGTAGGTCTCCGGCGTCGCGAAAGTTCGCGCATCTTTTTCAACCAGATTCGCATATCCTTCCCCCAATCACTTTTCCGCCAGCTTCTCCACTTTTCCGTGCTCAAACTTTTTTGCTAGCTTCTCCCCTTTTCCGCGCGAAGCATCCTGATCAGATCTTCCATGTTCCCTGCGACACACGCTTCTCAGTGTTCGCGTGCAAACCAGGGGCAACTGACCTTCGACGTTCCCTACGCTGCTCCATTTTTTTTATCGTGTGACTTAGATCGAAGCTTCCCAGGGACAACGATTTTGATACCAATGTTAGGGACCTCAACAACGCAGCAGAGTTTTAGTATTATATTGATTAAAAAACTAAGAACACAGTAGTGATTACAATGGTAGAAACGAGAGATCAACGTAAACTGAAAATTACAGGGTTGAGGCTCTTCAAGAGAGCCTCACTCTCCCAGCCTAATTCCAACTGAAATTCTGGCTACCTTCTTCCTCCTTCCCCCTTTTATATCATTTCTCTTCTTAAGGGCTAGCCACTGGTCCATATTTCATGAATTACATGGCCCAAAACATTAACTTATACAATAACACTATTAATAATACTCTGTTATTCTTATTATTATTGGTTGTCTATGCCCCTATCAAATAATGATCAAACTCCACTGACTAATAAAAGCTTTGGAATGTTAATTATTACCATAGTCACTATAACTACTTAGTTATTCCTACTACTGCAGTCGGAGGACTCAGTGTTAGGGCACAGACACAAATCAAAGCTAAAACAGTAAACGAACACACAGATCTTATGAACAGAGATGGAAATAGATGTTTATTGATGAAATAGGTAATCCGTAGGCAGTACAGGGACTTCTTAGGCAACTGGGACTCTTAGGCAACAAGGCAACAGTTCTCAAAATAACAGTCTACCTACTAAGGCTATCCCAGCTTCTATTTATAGCCAAAAGTCCACGCAGGGACTAAATAGACAACTAAATAAGCTATAGACACTTAATAAGCTATTTAACTCCCCTAACCCCCTTATTTAAGACTACTGATTAGGATGATGCCTAACATTACTCCCCCCTAAACAACCACCTTGTCCTCAAGGTGGGTGATAGGACACAGCCTTGATTTTGAACTTCCTCTTCATCTTGGAACCTCTTCCTTCCCAGTACCTCCCGGATTTCCCACCCAAAAGAAGCTTGTTTATTGCTCCTTTTGCTGTTTCTATAAACCAGTCATCATTTGGTAAAGCACTTGGTACAATGCCCCTAACCGAATATGTCCTGGTCACCCGAGACATTATATCCGATGCTATTTGATGCACTATCCTGGAAGGGTATCCAGCAACCCGTGCTATCTCTACGGTGTAGTGCATTTCCAGCATTATATGCTGCAATCCATGTTGTGTAAGAGGAGCAGAACTATCCTCTAGAACACCCCAAAATTCTTGCTCATCATGCCGCCACATGACCCCAATCTCAATCAGCCCGGCAAGCAAAACCTTCTGTATTTTCTCCCTCCCAATTAGTATGTCACCCGCCACAGTTGCTAACTGCTGCAGCTTACAGTTCTTCACTGTAAGGAGCAGAAACAATATCTTGGTGGAAAAATGCTCCCTGGTGCTGCAAAAGTTAGAATCTCTTGGCATCTGCATCTCCTGTTGTGTCCTTTGCTTGTTTTCCAACATCTCTTTAAGAGAATTGACCTCATCTTGTTCAAGACCATGAACCATTTCAAAAGCATCTGGAAAGGGTAAAAGAATCGGGTAAAAGGCTATGATGACTAGGTTTAAGTATTTAATAAAAGAATCGGGTTTCATTGAATTTCATAATAACTTGTACAAGGGTTTTATCATTCTCCAAGTTCTTTTCCTGCTTTGAAGATAGTTCGTGCCTCCAGTTACATTGAATGACTTATGTTTCATCATCTGTCAGGCACCCTTTTTAAATTAGAAATTGCTCTGTCAAAGGAAATAAGAACACTGGCAGCTGAAGCTTTTCTTAATGCCAGCTGGTACCAAGGGCCAACTTCAGCAAGTCTAAAGTATGTTATTTTCACTTCATCTACTATTGTGAAGATCCAGGCCTCAGTTACATTTGAAACTAGAAATTTAGTCTTCTGTAAACTCATGTTTTTGTGTTGAGATACATAATAATATAATAATAGCGTCATAGATATATAATAATAGCCTCAGAGGAGAGTGGAATCGAGGGGAATCCGGGAAAGAGAAGAAGAAAGGGGAAACGGGAAAGGAAGGGAGAGAGTTCTTTTTTGCCTCAAGACTTCTACTTTTATGGTCATTTGCTTTGAAGATAAGGATTGGAAGGATATCCAAGTTCTTTTTTGCTCAGGTTTGAATTAGATTATATCCAAGTTCTATCATCTGTCCGGCAGCCTTTTTAAATTACAAATTACTCTGTCAATCATTTAAATTACAAGTTACAAATACCCTTTTTAAAGCTGGTTACTAGTACAATTCTGAAGTATGTTAATTTCTCTTTGGCTGTTTATTGGTCCATCAGTTTCACTTCCCTTTGCCTGTATGGTGTCTCATAGGTATTATTTTGAACTTGTGAGTGGAAAACGATTGCTCGGGTTGCATTTTGACATAGCTCAGCTGCTCAAGCGTTGATAAATGTGGTTCTATGGGGGTATACTGTATATTACAAATGAGTGGGAATGGGGCACACAGACTGAAGTTCAAAGCCTCACCACTATTAAGGAAGCTGTTTCCTTATTTCTATTAGGAGCAACGGAGGAGAAGAAAGGGGGAAAGGGAAACGGGTACAAGTGAAAGAGTAGAGAGAAGGAACAGGAAAGAAAGAGGAAGCAGAAAGGGAAAGTTATTGAATTCATAATATACAAGGGTTTTATTATTCTCCAAGTTCGTTTCTTGCTTTGAAGATAAGTCTTGCCTCCAGTTACATTGACGTATGTTTCATCAAAACTCCAAAGAAAATAAGAACACTGGCGGCTGAAGCTTTTCTTAATGCCAGCTGAAAGTATGTTATTTTCACTTCATCCACTATTGAGTTTCTTCTTTTGGTACCAAGGTCTATTATGAAGATCTAGGCCTCAGTTACATTTGAAACTAGAAATTTAGTCTTCTGCAAACTCATGTTTTTGTGTTGAGATGTATAATACTCCCTCCGTCCCCTTTTAAATGTCCCGGAAGAGGGTGGCACGAGTTTTAAGAAAAGTGGGTTTGTGTGGTTGATATTAATTGATTGATAAAGTAAGAATGATTTTGAGCCACACAAACTTTACCAAATAAGGTATGAGACAATTAAATAGGGACATTCCAATATGGCAAAACGAGACATTTAAAAGGGGAGGGAGTGAGTAATAGCCTCATAGGTATCATCTATTACTCATGTTCGCTGTTTATCTACACATATGACTTTTCATGGTCATCGTTAAAACGAAAATGTGTTGATATTATCCTGCTAGGATTTTTCTCTCAACACCAGTATCTTCAGTTAAATACAATTGAGCTTGACGACCAATTAGACGCCACCTTAATTCCCATCCAATCTTAGCCTTTGAAAAACTGCCTGGGAAGTTACATTTCCAATTCAGAAAACTTGACTTTGCCACAGTCATGTATGAGTTGTGAGCGGTTATTTCTACTGGATAAGGAGTCTGTCAGCCTCATGATGGGTCTTTTGCTAGGGTTTCAAAGTAGACAAACTAATGTCTTCATAAAATTGAGACTGCTTAGGGTTTGTCAGTACGATAAAGGAATTGAGATCTCTGCTTTCCTTATCACAAACACTTGGTATTGCAATAATATCTCCCAGGGATCTCAATTTGATGAGCCCAGATGACCCTTCACATTTAATGATCGTTTCTTCAGATCTCATTTCACCCTTTTCCTTTGCATCAGTTATCAATACAACCCTGTCTAAGGCTATAACACACCTGTCATTGCATAAAACAATTGGAACCTCAGAGCAACATTTTCCTGCCCAAAAATTATGAATAATGTGTCCAAGTGTGATATAGATTCCTGCCCTAAAATACACTTGCTCTTCTTGGCATATAGCTGAAGCCCCAAGAGAGAGATAATTCTCAATCTTCCCAGAAAATAATAAACAGTCAAAATAGCCTCCCTCTATTCTCACTTAACATCTATTTATAGTATCCCACTAACAGAATGTAGTTATTATCTCAAACAGAAATATAACTACACTAACTCTTTTATTTAATATCCTAATAGGTCTGTCCCTAACAATTCTCCCCCCCTAAACATCCACCTTGCCCTCAAGGTGGGTCAGGGTGATAGGACACAACCACAATCTTCTTCATTTCCTTCATCCTAGCACCTCTCCCCTTCCAATATTGACTTGCAAAATTCAGTATACTCCTTTATAAACTCATTCCTTCTGCCTTCAATTATCTGCTCTTGCTTCTGCGTATTACTTTGTCCCTCCTTGTGCCACAAATATCCATCTCCTTGAATAATATGATTCAACCCTTGTTTCTTCCATTTTATGATCTGGTTTTGGAAATTAACTTCCATATCACCTAGATCAATCAACCATTCCATTCCCAACACCATGTCAGTCCCACCTAGCTCCAACATATAAAATTTCTGTTGAATTTAATTGCCCTGCACATTCAGTTTCATCCCTTCACATCTACCATAGTTAGAGATCAAGTCTCCATTCCCTATTTGTACCTTATATCCCTTGATACCTTGGAAAGGTATCTTCCATCTTTCTACAAATTGTTGGGATATAAAGTTGTGGGTAGCACCACTATCAATCAAGATATTCATCTTTGCTCATTTTCTGACCATTTCAATTCCCCTTTTACCTTGAAAGTATTCGTAGAGGAGCTTCCTTCTTTACTTAAGACTGACAACTGCGTAGTCTTGGATCCCATATGAACCCCTTCTCCTACTTCTGAGTCACTAGTTGCAGTTTCAGATCCTTCCTCTCCTTCAGATTGTTCCATCAGCACCATTTTGAAGTTCTTCATCCTGCAATTGTGACCCCGGTTCCAGTTTTCACCACATTTAAAACATAATCCTCTTCTACTTCTTTCTTGCAGCGCATTCTGTGATAATCTGGGGCTTGTTTTCTTCTGAACCGAATTTGAAGATTCCTCCTTATCATCAACTGAATAGTCGCCAGATGGGTTCTTGGTTGTACTAGAACTCCCTCTATAGCCATTTCCCCATTTATGGTAACTTTGTCCTGTTAGATTTGTCTTCCATACCTTTTTCCCTTCCTCCTTGTTTCTTCTAGACAATACTTCATGATTCTTATGCTCAGTCAATAGTGCTGTGTCCATAATCTCAGCCAGATTCCTCGCATGACAAAGCTTCAACTCAGCTCTAATGTCCTTCAATCCATTCAAGAAAATTCCCTTAGTTACCTTCCTGCTTAATTCATCATGAGAAGCCACACCCATTTCGAATTGTTCTCTGTAATCTTGAACTGTTCCCTTCTGCTTAAGACCTAATAAAGGTCCCAGAGGGTTCTGAACCAATTCCGGTTGAAATCGCCTAGTTAAAGCTGCCTTCAAAGTTCCCCAATTCCTCTCACGCGTTTGGTTCTCCCATCCTTGGAACCAGCTAAGGGCTTTGTCCTCCATAGCTACCACCGCTACGTTTACCTTATCATCCTCTTCGATCTGATTAAGACGAAAATAACGATCAATTCTGATTAACCACCCATAAGCATCTTCACCGTTGAATAACGGTAAATCAATTTTCCTCCCTGTTCGATGGTGGTGGTGGTGACTATATTCTCTGTGTCGGTGATGATGGTGATGTGGTGGTGAGTAGTGGTTGTTCCCTTCCGAGTCATCTGAACTCACTGATTTTAGTTCATGTTGTGACTGACGCTCCCGATGGTGGTGCTGATGGTGATGCGTAGGTTCATAGTCTGAGTTTTCTCCCGAATCTCCAGAGTGAGTTGATTTTCGTGAATGGCGTGATTGATGTTCGTGCAAAGTGCGATGCGAAGCGGTTGAAGCTTTCGATCTACTTCGCGATCGATCTTGCGCTCGAGCGTCCAATCTGGCGAGAAGAGTCGCCTGCATCTCTGCTAACATCTCCGTGGTCTGTTGTTGATTTCTGTCTACTTTCTCTTCCAGTTCGTTCATTCGTATATCCATCTTCGTTCTTGTCCAGACCATCCACAAAGATCGACGATGCTCTGATACCACTGATAGAACTGTCTAGGTATTGAGAAAATTTACAAAATATTATCAAAGAAAATTTCAAGAACAAGAACTGTAAACTTTATTGATGAAGAAGCTCAGTAACAATGGCCGAAGCCCCTGGCCGAAGCCCCAAGAGAGAGATGATTCTCAATCTTCCCAGAAAATACTGAACAGTCAAAATAGGCTCCCTCTATTCTCACTTTACATCTATTTATAGTATCCCACCAACAGAATGTAGTTATTATCTCAAACAGAAATATAACTACACCAACTCTTTTATTTAATATCCTAATAGGTCTGTCCCTAACATGGAGTCATCAGAATTTGGAAGTAGCCAAAACGTAAATCAATCTTTGAGAAGAATTGTGCCCCCCCTGAGTTCATCCTAAAAGGTGAGTGATCACTAATTACAACTGAAATTCTGCCTACCTTCTTCCTCCCTCCTTCCCCCTTTTATATCATTTCTCTTCTTAAGGGCTGGCCCATATTTCATGAATTACATGGCCCAAAACATTAATTTATACAATAACACTCTATTAATAATACTCTGTTATTCTTATTATTATTGGTTGTCTATGTCCCTATCAACTAATGATCAAACTCCACTTACTAATAAAAGCTTTGGAACATTAATTACTACCATAGTCACTATAACTACTTAGTTATTCCTACTACTGCAGTCGGAGGACTCAGTACTATCCAGAGTTGTTGATGTTAATGAGTGTTATTACTCTTGACGATGTATACTTGTACTTCGTCAAGTGGTGATCTTGTAAATAAAAATGACATAAAGAATATAAAACCAACATGATACCCTATGTTTACTTGATTTGGGAACATTTACTATTATCATGAAATTCATACTTAACTCCGTGGTCATCCACATATCTCACAATAATTGTTATCTGCTCTTTGACCGAATTACTACTTTATCTAATGGTCTCAACTTATCTTTTTTGCCAGATAAGTACTCATACTAAATTTGGGATTGGAAGCAGGGGCATTTCCCCCAGCCCCCAGGTCCTCTATGCCCTAGCGGGAGTTGTGAGCCGACGAGGAAGATGGGAGAAAGACACTCTCTAAAAGCCCCTACTGGCTTCAAAGAACAAGACACTATCTGGCTTTAAGAAGTAATTCAATATCCCAATTTTGAAATAACTTTCGGTCCCATATATGAGTCTTCTCGTCGTTAAAAGCATATAAATGGGTTCTAAATTTTGAAGCCATGTGAAAAATCAATGCGTTTTTATACATTTTTTAATAAAATAACTTTAGGTCCCGTATATTTACTTTTCATTTTATGTGGCTCAATATTAATTCTTATCAATGAGAGTATATATGCTTGATAAGGTCTGCTTCTTTAAGTATTAGTTCTTAAGTATTAATGAATTTTTTGCTTACAACATATGTACTTGATTGCAGTAAAAGTTTAACTAATTATGCTTCATATAATCAACCTAGATAGTTTGAACTTAATATTAATTAGAACTGGGGCGCAGTAAATTACTGCTCAATTGCAGTACAACATTTCTCTTCCGAAGTGATGTTGAAGTCACTTAATATAACATCTCTTGTTCTGGTTTTGATTTTAGTTTTAAGTTTCGTCAAAAAGAAGTCCTTGATTTATAAGTTTCCCAATTCACTGTTGATGTGTCCAACAATTTTATGTTATTATTAATTTATTATTTGTTTTTTAAAGGTGATTATGTCGTTCTTATGCTGAAGTTCGCTGGTGAGTGGAAAACAATTGCTAGATTTGTGTTTTGACGTAGCACAGCTGCTCAAACGTTGATAAATTTGAAGGTAGAATTTAGAATTTTGCCCTTCTGTCTATTACCTTAGGGATATCTATAGTAAGATGCAAAATGTGGGTATGACTAGGTGGTTCTATGGGGGTATACTATATATTACAAATGAGTGGGAATGGTGCACAACTGCACACGGACTGAAGTTCAAAGCTTCGCCACAGTTAAAGAAGATGTTTCCTTATTTGTATTAGGGGCTGTAGGGAAGGGGGTGGGAAGAAAGCAAGGAATGAGAAGAGGAAAGCTTCAGCTGCCTGTGTACTAGTAAAAGGGAAGTAGGTAACTACCTACTTGTGATTCTGGAAGTGCTAGTGTACTAGAAGAACCAGGGCACTACCCACTCGTTGGCAAATGTACTGTAGCTATTGTAGTTGGTTCTCCCCTTGAATGTTTTTTTATTGAAACTTTTATTCTTTATTGTGGCTTAGAGCCGTTTGCTTCTTTCACTGCTGTTTCAGATCTGCTAATATATGTCGTTGTTGCAAATCCTATTCATTCTTTACCTCAACCTTTTTTCTTTGTTTCAAAACATATAATATTTCGTATACACCTTTTACTTGCAGGAAAAACGCAGTGTGGAGATGTTGGATTGCCCCAGCCCCATAGGAGTACGCTTTGCTTAGTACTATAATTAGTTTTGACTTTTTCAATTTCCTTGGTTGTAAGGGCATATCTTTGTTTAATGCCCTTTTAGAATAGTACTCCGTATTTGTTTATTTTAAACATTGGTCTTTTCAGTTTTTTTTTTTTAAATTTTTTATTTGGTGGTATGTAGAACTTTAAAATGGAAGGGGTTGGGTTCGATTCCCTGGAGCGGATTTTGGCCCCATCACCGCCCTTCTATTTTGGCCTTGCCCTTCTGATTTTTTTTTCCGGGAAGCAGCTAGAAGATGGTCTTACCCCAGCGGATTGCAATATTCAGAAAGCCTTCATTTTCACTTCTTTGGTGATATAACCTATTTGCAACTATGCTTGCGGGCTGCGGCTTGACTCTTTATGAGGACATTCTTAGCTGCTGCCAAATGCGAGACTACTTGGGATGCTGGTACTTCAGCTAGAAGAGCAATTCATAACCCTCTCGAGCAGTTCTTTGAAGCTCATAGAAGTGTGGAGGATGATAAACCTGTTGTGTATGGTGGGAGCTGGAAGGCATCTGAGCTTCGTCTCAAGTCCTGGGATGATCTTCACAAACTATGGTATGTACTTCTCAAGGCTCAACGTCAAATGCTTAATGCTCAAAACTTGAGATTTCCAAATCCAGAATGTATCTCCAAGGTAAGAAAGTCTATATGCCGAATCAAACACGTGCTCACAGAGAGGGCGATCGATGAGCCAGATCCTATGAGGTGTAGTGAGATGAAAAGAATGATAAATGCCGTATGAGAAGAATGATAGTTGTGTTAAAAGGAATGAATGAGAGATGCTGTCATTTGATCCAGTGGCAGATAGACAGGTAGTTTATGGAGTCATATATTTTCTGTTTCAAGAATTTTGTGCTGCCCAGATGATTTGTTGGAGCTGTGGACGTGCTCTTTTAAACACATTCTTTGCTAGCTCGTGTATCTGAAAATGGATGCTGTGGACGTGTATCCTGGAAGTGTTTTTTTATTTGCCTGATGTCATCCATCTCCTTGGGTGGGTAGAACAAAAGAGGCAAACAATTTTTAGACAAAAAAATGGAAGCGGTTGGGAGTTGGGGGGATGATAAATAAAGCAAAACTTTATATGAGTATGTGTTACTTGAGTTCAGTTCAAATCGGTTGAAATTGTTATTTTTTTTTTTAAATATGTCAATATTTATTATTTTTTATTATATTTAGTTTTGTACTAATAGTCTACCATATTTTGATGTGATATCTAGCCTTATTTAGATGATTTGTATTAAATTAGTTGATTTGTAAATCCCACATAATCCTCTTGTAATCACTCTCAAACGGCCGAAATGAAACCAGATAGTTTCAAATCAAAATTATTGATGTATATGGAGTATAAATTGGGTAATTTACACAAAAAGATCTTTGATTTAAACTTACATATATCTGTTAATCTATGACTCGATGTTTCGATTTTTGCTCTTTTACGGTCAATTACATTGCTCGTACATAACAGTTTGAGTATGATCTATGTGCTTTTCTTGGTCAAATAGATATATCATACTCAAAATTCAAAACAGATTATGTGATATGTGATTAAGATTTATTAGTTAAATCTAAAGCAATGGAAACGAAAAAGGCTTGACTTTGTTTAAATTTTGTGTTTATCAAATTATAGTGTTTATGATAGGGAGGCATTCGAAAATCTAAATAGTGCATGTGGAATTCAGCTTCGGAAGCTCAATTGGAGCTACTCCAATGGTAAAAGTTAGGTATAAACTGCATCTCAACTAGAATATTTTTTTTGTCTCAACTGAGACTATATTAAAATGAGGTAACTAATGTACAAAATAGTTAGTTTTATTCTTAATATGCATTTCCTCAAGTGAACGAGTTAATGCATCCCATTTTCTTTTGCAATTGTATTAAACTGATTTATCAATACTAAACTAATCCTGAAGAAGAAAAAGAAAAACTCTACCCAAATTAATGTTCTGTGATAAGGATTTCTGATAAGACTGTTCCTAAAAACTTACAATGTATTTTACTCTAATCATGTTCCTAAATTGTTACTAAATGTCGCTCCCATTCCTTGTATGTTCGAATTAACTCATGTACTTTCCTTATTTACCATTTGGCACATATAGCTGGAGTTAGGGGAGAGCAAACCCGACCCTACCCGATTGACCCGATTGGATATATCCGATTTTATTTTTTGGGTCGGATAACCCGACCTGAATGACCCAAACCCGATCCGATTTTTGCAACCCGAGAGTTAAGCGGGTAGCGGGTAGGGTTACCAATTATGTTACCCGACCCGCCCGAAAACCCGAATTAGGGTAGTATATATACTACTTTGATTTATTATGCATGTTCAAATATCTCAATTATTGTATGCCAATTACCATATTATGCATATCAAATATTCCAATTAACGTATTTGTAAAACTATAACTTTGAATGTTGTATTGTTATGATTTTGAATGATATTTTGACCAGTTATCATTTTATTTATCACAATATCAAAAATGTCAATCACCGTATATTATTATTTTACATGTTCTAATATGTCGATTACCGTACTTATACAACTATTACTTTGAATGTTATACTAGTATAACTTTGAATGATATTTTTACCAATTACCATTTTATTTATCACAATTTCAACAATAATAAATTAAAATCCGAATGGACCCGAAAACCGAACCAACTCGACCGAAACCCGAACTTCTTCAACCCGAAAAACCCGATAAATTTTTTGATCGAGTAGGGTTTTAAATTATCAATCCGATACCCAAACAGGTTTACTATTTTTGAACCTGACCCGCCCGAACCCGACCCGTAAATTTGTTTAACAAATGTGGCTATTGTGAAGCATTATATATATATATATATAGAAATGCTCAGGTCCCTCCGGAGGGATGGGAGGGACCGTCCGAACTTTACTGTTTGGGGCGGTTCCCGGTGGAATTTTTTGATGAAATTTTTTTAGCATGTTCCTCATTAAGTCTAGTTTGTCCATACCAAATTTCAGCTCAAAATTCGATCGGGAAGGCAGTCAAATAAATTCTTGAAGCTTACTGCACATTCTGTGCATATATAAAGTGCAGTAAGTTTGCTATGAGGTGTGCAGTAAGCTTCAAGAATTTATTTGACTGCCTTCCCGATCGAATTTTGAGCTGAAATTTGGTATGGACAAACTAGACTTAATGAGGAACATGCTAAAAAAATTTCATGAAAAAATTCCACCGGGAACCGCCCCAAACAGTAAAGTTCGGACGGTCCCTCCCGTCCCTCCGGAGGGACCTGAGCAGTCATATATATATGTGTGTGTGTGTGTGTGTGTGTGGATTGGTTCCAGTGAGAAAGGAGTCCCAAGAGAGAAATAAGAATGAAATCTAGCCATTGATTCAACAAAATGGATGGCTGCAAATTTAGAACCATATCTGCTGCAATCCATTAATTACGATCGGTTAGTAGAGTTATTAAAGGAAATGATGTCTAATAAACATTAGTAAAGGGCATAACAGTAAAAGAAACTAAAGGGTTGACACACGTTGGCTATAATTGTGGAGATATTTTTAACCACATTACGTTTAACTATTTCCGTTTCTTTGTCAAAATTGTAGTTATTAATTACTTTCCTTTTAGAGTTTTCACTTATTTGAATTTGTGTAGTCGAATCCCTGGATTCGATTAGGTTGGTGCACATATATTCTTTCTAAAAAACAAAAAGTTGGTGCACATATATACTATTAATATAATGCACTAAGGGTTGAAGTATCGTGCACTGAGGGCTAGAGTATAGTGCACTCTTTATCGGTGCACCAAGGGATGGAGTATGATACACTTTTTTAATTTGGTGATGCATCAAAATTCTCTTGAATGAATCACAATCAAAGAGTTTGGTGCATTTTTTATTTGTTTTGTTGCACGTTTGAAATGTTTTTACATACGAAGTAATAAGAAGTAATAATGAAAGTAATCCAATTTATGAATTGCGAAGAATTGTACATAATATGCACTTCATATACTTGAAATGTGCAAATATAATTCACTTAAATTATGGATGATGAGTAAAGTGCAATGGACGACCCAAAAGTAAGGATATAATTTAAAAATATGCACAACATACACTATCTTTTTTAATAATGCACTTCAAAATATATAACTAAATGCACATTTTGCAAAAAATAAAAATGCAAATATAAATGTGAAGGTATTAATAAGAAGAATCGCATAATATGCATCTCTCGTCCATAGATAGTGCGGTTATTTGTGTTTTAGTTAGCATTGTCATGTATACAAAATAATACTCTGTATTACATTGGAAAGAAGGAAAGTGCAATGTGTAAAACAATTTAGTGCATTATCTTATACCACATACAACCAATGTTCTAAAAGGCGTAAGGCGTGTCGAGGTGGCACATCCAAGCCTTAAGCCTTTGAAGCCTAGGCGGGCTTAGGCGGGACGTAGGCGTGAAAAGGCGTTTCGAAATTTGTTATCATTTATTTTAATTTTTCTAAAGCTATTTTTAAATAACGTTATTCAAGAACATAATTTTTATTATAGTAGTACCTTCATCTCGTTGTAAGGATCCCACGACAAATGAATGTGAGGTTATAGATGTATTATTTCTAATATTTAATGATTAAATTATCATTTATAATTGTGAACTGTTTCTCAAAATAGAAATGAAAACCTTTATATGAGACGTACAAAAAGGAAAAATGAGAACATTTCGACAGGACGGAAAGAGTTATATTTTTGAAAAACCCTCTAATAAAAATGATAAGAGTGAGGATCTTGATAATGATAACAATAAAATAAAACAATAATGTATAACAATAATAACAATAATTAAAACAATCTTAATATTAATATCATATCAATAATAATAATACATAGTAGTTGTTAGCGTATTAATGTCAAGCTATTATACTAAATATAATTACTAATACGGAGTAATATATAAAGTTTCACAGTTTCAAATTTAAAAAGAGCACATGCAAGTTGTGGGTGAGATGGAACTGCACCTAGCAAATACGGAGTACTTTATGCAATTTGTTTTTCCCACACCGATTACAAAACATTCTTCAGCCTTCCAAGCGCGTTATAAATTCGTCCCTCGCCAACGCTTGGCCAAATCAGCGACAAGCGACCTGGTTGAAAGCTAGTTGACCGGCTTATCTTGTCCAGGACCAGTAGTTTTAATTGCTATGGGCTTCCTTAAAATTTGGGCCGTCTTTTGTCACGCCTATGGGCTGTGCGAGGCTTTAGTCTGACGCCTTGGGCCTGGGCCCGCCTAGGCGGAGCCTTTTAAGGCCTTTTAGAACACTGCATACAACACATAGCGGCTAAAAGAATTGATACGAAATGTTTACTAGGATGTTTTCTTTTGAATTGTTTTCAGTCCCACACCAACTATACAAGATCAGACTAGATCATCCCAAACCAAACTTCCGTAGTTACAAAATATACAGACACCAGACATTTAACAGACCAGATCAGACTAACAAATTTCAGTCTAAAAGAAAACATCTTATGAATAAATCATACGTAGTACTTTTATCTCGAATATATATTTCACCAATAAATATTCATAAACTGGAAAAAATTTAATAACAATCATAAAATATTTCAATGAAATAACAAAATAGAGAAACAAATATAGCTCTCTGTAAATTAAAATTATTGCAAGGCAATGGATTTCTCCATGTAAACTCACGGTAGTGGAATCACTACGGACAAACACAATGCTAAAAATGGATTCATGAACATATGAAACTGAAAAGGAAACAAACCATTATTAAGCACTTCAGAATATAAGGAAGCAATTGCACGAATATTAAATCAACTAACCAATAGAATAAAATGACTGAAAGGGGCTCACCTAATCAAAATGATTAAAGAGTAGTATGTTATGATCTAACGGCTGAAATCTATTCTTATTTCTCTCCTAAGATGTTTTTCTCACTTGATCCTATATATATATATATATATATATATATATATATATATATATATATATATATATATATACGGGCGATATTGATGATAAAGCATCTTGGAGATTGTATATTCTCCTAGAGAGAGTAATGTTGTTGCAAACTCCTTCACTGAACAAAGGGATTTTACTGAGGACGACTTTCTGATTCTTGGATGGTCACAATTGTCTTATTGTGTAAGGGAAGCATCTATATGGAAAAGGAAGTTATTGTCTATCTTAAAAATTTCACAGAGTTCTATCCTCCTCCAACCAGTCCCGATGCATCGCCTTCTGAAATTCGGGACCCTTTTGACATCACTCATCCAGTTTGATTTAGCTTATGTGAGTTGGTTTTTATCTCCTATGTAAATGAGACCAGGATGCTGGAAGTGGGAGCTAGACTTTGGCCTTTAACTTGGTCTAGGTTGGCCCTTCACTATTCTTTCTTTATGTGTGTATAGATACCTTTTGGCTTTCTATCTACATGGAGAGCCTTAATAATGTTAATCCCGTCAAGTAGCATGTTAAAAAAAACCACTCTTACGAAGTAGCTTACCCCACACCATGGACCCCTACATTCATGTCTTCAACTTAATACAAAGTGTTTTTTTTAAATATACGAAGTATTTGTTAATAAATGCTATATATGTTTCTAGCTTTCCCTATCCTTTTGTATCAGTGTATTATACAAACATTATTGGGCACTAACCCAATCGCGCATCGCGCATCAAAATAACTGGTTTCAATAATAAATACCATCGACTATGTCACGCAGTGTAAATGCTTTGGTTAAAGGTTTATCTTATAAATGTAACACAAAATGGCAATTGTGGACTTCTTTGATTTAAAAAATTTGAATAAAAAATTTCTAAACAATTTAAAAATCACTAAAAAATGAAGATCCAAAAAAAATCAAAAAATATTTTAAACATGCACGGTTGATATTTTTCACATAGAGGTTCTGAGCTGAAACGTGAAAGTCTTACAAACAAACGTGGTTCATGAACAAATAATTTAATACAACCGTCTCTGTAATTCATGAACAAATAATATCATCGTATGAGAAAATATATTTATTGTAATGCCGTATGTCTAAAAATTGGATGTTGTGATTATCTCTGAATTCACTACTCTTGAAAAGTATTGAAAATATAGGTGAATTTATTCGTGGGTTTGAATTAGAAAATGATGAATTTAAAAAGAATAAGAAAAAATTCCACTTATATTACTAGTAGAAGAGTCATGGACATATGTATTACTACTAAAGATGACTTATTATTTAAATGCTAACACAACAATATCCTTGTTCCTATTTTACCTTCAAGTCTAGTTATATAACGGCAAATAGATTAGACTCCACTTTCACCCAAAACTCCTACTGACTACCTACCTGGCTACCCTGGCGTGCTAAGTTATCGTTCATTCCTACCCCTTCTACCATCTTCTTCGCAAACCCACATATGGCAGTTTCTTTGTATAGTAGAGCCTTCTTAAAACATGTAAGTTACTATATCCAGTGCACATAGTAACTACATCATACAATAATATACCCAAGCCACCTTAATTAATTCAGTGTCCATCAATTACCATCAGTCAGTATGGCTAAAGTGCCTTCATCACAGTCACTTATAATTATAACTAGTTTGTGTACCCATGCGCCGCACGGTAAGATATATGTTTAAAGTTTTTCTTAAATTAATATGGACTGCGGATTGTATATGAATTCGTCAATCGAAGTTTAAAAGAGAACTCAGTTGATTATAAATTCAGATGTCAAAATGAGTCGACCTCCACCGGGCTTGCTCGTTTCATGGTGGATTGTATTTAAATATAACCTGATTAGCTCATTGGTTTCGTGGGTCAACATGCACAGGTTGTGGGCTGACTTTACAGCTTGCGATTGGTCAAAATATAAATATCTAGTTTTGACTTTCACTATCTTATTTTTGTTTGTTTACTACAAAAATATTTCAAATTACATGCTTATTATTTAATACAGAACCATCATATTTGTGTCGGTCCTTTTAGTTCTCTTTTATTCAAATTGCTTGAGTAATGAGGCGTGCTGCTTTATATCAAGAATATAGTAACTTTTAGAATTTTTATTACATTATTTAATGTGTATTCAATTGACTTGAGTATAAGTATTTAGAATGATTTTTTTATATTACTGTGGGGTAACTTATATAAGTATAAGTATTTTTATAATAATTTATTGATTTTTTTACATGAAGCTTCTCGTGAAAATGAAAATGAGCCCAATAATATAATTCTTGAAAATAAAGTATGCTCTCACTATATTTTGAATTGTGGCCTAACTTATATTTCTTTCTCAATTATGTTTATAAGTTTTCTTAATTGTATTTTTACAAAAAAGATTAGAGTTTGATATTCATTGCTTTGAGTTTGTATCTAATTACAAATAGACCTACTCTTACTCGGCCTAATCAAAGAACAACCATATAGTCCATCAATCAATAGGAGTCGTGGAGATACTACCTAAAAATCGATCAAATTGGTGTGATCAGTTGAAGTTTTACAAATCGTTGCTGAAATGGTTGGATCAGGTGAATGGAAAAATAAAAAACTCATTCCAACGCTATTTTGATTATTACTCATTCAAACACGTGAAATAAAAACTTCGTGTTTGATAAAAAAGTTAGCTGCTGATTACTAAACCAGATTTCAATATTTCCCACCACATTTCTAAAATATTTCAAAGAGGAAAAAACTATATTTATTTGTAGGTTTGAATGAGAAAACGATGAATTAGAAAAGAATAAGAAAGAATTCCACTTATATTACTAGTAGAAGAGTCATGGAAATAAATAATACTAAAGACGACTTATTATGAGAAAATGATGAATCAGAAAAGAATATGAAAGAATTCCACTTATATTACTAGTAGAATGAGTCGACCTCCATCGGGCTTGCTCGTTTCATGGTGGATTGTATTTTAATAACCTGATTAACTCACTAGTTTCGTGGGTCAACATGCACAGGTTGTGGGATGACTTTACAACTTGCGATTGGTGAAAATATAAATATCCAGTTTTGACTTTCACTATCTTAATTTTTTTTGTTTACTACGAAAATTATTTCATATTATACACTTATTATTTAATACAAAACCATCACTTTTTGTCGGTCCTTTTAGATCTCTTTTATTCAATTGATTTGAGTAGAAGTATTTAGAATGAATTTTTTTATTGTTTATATTAATTACTGTGGGGTAGCTTATATAAGTATACATATTTTTTATAATAATATATTTACATGAAGATTCGACACACGAGCTTACATGAAGCTTCGACACACTAGAAATGTTTCTTGTGAAAATGAAAACTAGCCCAATAGTATGATTCTTGAAAATAAAGTATGCTCTGACTATAATTTGAACTGTGGCCTAACTTATATTTCTTTCTCAATTATGTTTATACGTTTTCATAATTGTATTTTTACAAAAAGATTAGAGTTTGGTAATCATTGCTTTGAGTTTGTATCTAATTAAGAATATACCTACTCTTACTCAGTCCTAATAAAAGAACAACCATACAATTATCACTGTATGATTATCTTTATAATTGATGACCATCAATCAATAAGAGTCGTGGAGATAATATCTAATAAACGACGAAATTTGCATGACCAGTTGAAGTTTTGCAAATTGTTGCTGAAATGGTTGGATCAGGTGAACGGAAAAATTAGATTTAAAATACATTTCATTAATAAAATTAGGAAAAAATACATGAAACATAGGTAAAATGGTGTTCTACAGTCACTTCATCCAATTGAGTCACAAAAGTAACTCCATCCATGGCTATTTTGATTAATACTCATCCCGGCGCGTGAAATAAAAACTTCGTGTTTGATAAAAAAAAGTTAGCTGATAAGCTAAAAGCATGGGTTACTAAACAATATTTCAATATTTCTCACCACGGTTCTAAAATATTTCAAAGAAATGAAAATTCGAGTATCTTTAAATTTACCTGTGAGCATTAGTAAAATTACAGGAAAAAACTACATGTATTTGTGGGTTTGAATGAGAAAATGATGAATTTAGAAAAGAATGAGAAAAAAAATCCACTCATATTACTAGTAGAAGAGTCATGGACATAAATAATACTAAAGACGACTTATTATTTAAATGCTAACACAACAATTCCCCTGTTCCAATCTTACCCCGAGGTATAGCTCTATACCCGCAAGCCCTGTTCTAAAAATCGGCCTAGTCGGACCGATTAATCGGTCTAGGCGGCCTAGGCGGCCCTAATTGTAGATTCCTAGTCGGTAAAAAATCGGCCTAGTCGGCCAAAAAATCGGCCTAGTCGGCCGCCTAGGCGCCCCCAACCGCCCGACTAGCGCCTAGCGAGTTTTAGAACAATGCCCGCAAGTAGATTAGACTCCATTTTCACCCAAAACTCCTACCGACTACCTACCCGGCTACCCTAGCGTGCTAAGCTATCGTTCATTCCTATCCCTTCTACCATCTTCTTCACAACCCCATGTATGACAGTTTCTCCGTAGAGCCTTCTTAAAACATGTAAGTTAATATTCAGTGCACACAGTAACTACATCATACAATACTATACCTAAGCCACCTTAATTAATTGATTCATTGTCCATCAATTACTACCGAGTCAATTACTAAATCACAAGTTACAACTATAATAAAGTTACTATATAGTTTGTATTATATTTATTGCTCACACAAAATCTCCAATGGGAAATAATACAAATGAAACCAAACTATTGTGGCCTGATTTCTATTCCCCTAAATAAATCAAAAACATTGTATCATGACTCACAAAGTAATTTATTTGCATCACACCAATATGTGAAATCAAACCCACCCTCAAATACAACTTCAAGTAACTCCCGCAAATTAGGTCTGGATCTAAAAGCTTGGTAACCGTTGGGGTAATCACGACATTTTATTTCAGGAAAATTCTTAGTGTACATGAGTTGTACACAACCTGTACACAAAGCCCACACAGCTGCCTGTGTACACATGCAATTCGTTTAAAAAGGGGCATAACTTGATGTCGAATTTCCCGTGTACACAGGCAATGTACACATTTTGTGTACATTTTGTATACAACAGGAATGGTCCCTTATTTTATGCTCTTTCCACCGTGCCTACGTTTTTTTATTGAATATTTACTTCTAGTCGCTTTTTTGTCTAACTAATTAGTAATGGTAATGTATTAATAGAAACTCAAATAATAATATCAAGGTACTTTTGTCAAAATGGGTGAAACATAAATATTCCTTAAATAAGTTAGAAAGGAGATATGCGGATTTTATAAAATGAATTTTAGATGTTTAATAAAATGAATGAATTGCAATACAAATACAAGAAAAAGGATTGGAATTGGAATTAAATATATTATCTTTGAGCCGCCTCGATCCTCCTCCTCGCTCAGTTGAGTGAGTCAATTCTAGGTGACGGAGCACTGGTTCTTGGGCGGGTGAAGCAAGCAAGGCAGATGGAAGAGGAGCTGAACAGCCATCCCTCCGATGGACAAACGCGAAATCCGGCTGCTTATCCTAGCGGCGTCGGGCTTGGTGAAGGAGCTGAGGCTGAGCTGTTGGTGAAGGAAGCCAAGCCAGAGAAGGAAGAAGAGAAACGAAGAAAGTGAGCATTCCATTCACTAATTAAAATCAGTTCCCACACCGACCAAGCCAGAGAAGGAAGAAGAGAAACGAAGAAAGTAAGCATTCCATTCACTAATTAAAATCGGTTCCCACACCGACGCCGGATGGCTGAGCGACTCCTGGCTGGGTCTATAAATACAAGGGTACAGTTGCAGATATACTCACCCTTTGGGACTGACCAAGTCCCGCTGGGTTGGGCTGGCCACCCTTTGGGGCCGGCTCTGGCTCCCTCTTTGGGCGCCATTAGGCTTAGGTTAGGTAGGTAGTTAGGGCTAGGCTTAGGTTAGTTTAGGCTTAGGCTTAGTTTAGGCTAGCTTAGGTTTAGGTTAGGCTTAGGGCGGTGGGGGCGTTATGCTGCCTCCATGCCGTCCTGGGCCGCCCGGGGTGGCGTTATGCTGCCTCGCTGGCGCCTCGTGGCGCCAACCCCCCCGTGGGGGGGGGGTAGGGGGGGGGCAGGAGGATTATGGGGGGAGTCGAGGGGAGGTAAGAAAGCGGGGAAAGGGGAGAAGAAGGGGAGAAGAGTCGAGAGGGAAAGTGAAAGAAAGAAATAGAAAATTAAGACAATTAAATAATATTAATTAATTAATTAATAATAATAATTAAGTTATTTAGTTATTATTAACTTAATTAATTAACTTCATACGTGTATGAGATATATAATAGCCTCATAGATATATAATAGCCTCATAGGGATGTCTAGCCAAAGAGGAAGAAAAAGGAAAATTAAGAGGAAGCAGAAGGGGAAAATTAAGACATAGGAAGAACACTTGCAGCTGAAGCTTCTCCTAATGTCAGCTGGTACCATGGGCCAACTTCAGCAATTCTAATTATTTTCACTTCATCTACTATTGAGTTTCTTCTTCTGCAAACTCGTGTTTTTGTGTTGAGTGTATAATAATAGCCTCATAGGTACCATGTATTACTCATGTTCGCTGTTTATCTACACATGTGACTTTTCATAGTCATCATGAAAACGAAAATGAGTCGAGATTTATCCTGCTAGGAATTTTCTCTCAACACCAGTGTCTTCTGTTAAATACAATTGAGCTTGACGATCAATCAGAGGCCACCTTAATTCCCATCCAATCTTAGCTTTGAGAAACTGCCTGGGAAGTTACAATTCCCATACAAACTATCCATCTTAGATTTATCCACAGTCATGTATGAGTTGTGAGCGGTTATGATGATGGGTCTCTTGCTTGGCTTTCAAAGTAGACAAACTATCGTTCTCATAAATTTGAGACTGTTCAGGGTTTGTCAGTACGATAAAAGAATTGATGAGCCCAGATGACCCTTCACTTTAAATGATCGTTTCTTCAGATCTCCTTTCACCCCTTTCCTTTGCATCAGTTATCAATACAACCCTGTCTAAGGCTATAACACACCTTTCCTTGGAAACTCAGAGCAACATTTTCAATTGTCATTATTTTTTTTTACTTGATGTGTCATATTTTTTGGTCCATCAGTAAGACTTATCTCTTCAAGTAACACAGGTTTTGAATTCGAGCTGGAATCTGAATCAACCCTTTTCGCCCCTTCTGGATTATCGGGGGGATATCCCGTGGATTGAATAATATCATCATTTTGAAGGTGATTATGTCGTCCTTATGCTGAAGTTCGCTGGTGAGTGGAAAACGATTGCCAAATTTGCGTTTTGACGTAGCTCAGCTGCTCAAACGTTGATAAATTTGAAAGTAGAATTTAGAATTGTGCCCTTCTTTCTATTACCTTAGGGATTACAAATGAGTGGGAATGGTGCACACAGACTGAAGTTCAAAGCTTCGCCACAGTTGAAGAAGATGTTTCCTTATTTGTATTAGGGGCTGTAGGGAAGGGGGGCGGGATGGAAGCAAGGAATGAGAAGAGGAAAGCTTCAGCTGCCTGTGTAGTAGTAAAAGGGAGGTGGGTAACTACCTACTTGTTTGTAATGCTGGAACTGCTAGTGTACTAAAAGAATAAGGGCACTACCTACTCGTTGGCAAATGTACTATAGTGTGATGTTATCTGCTTAATTATTGATGTAGTGATATTTTAGAATTAGAAATTACCAGATATGGGAGAAAAGAGAGAACGAAGGAGACAAAGAGATTGGGAGGAGAGATAGTCTGCGATTTTTGTCCCTTTCCCTATTTGCTCTAACCGTATTTGTAGGAATGGGGGTGGGGACCCCTACATAACAACCCACTTGCTAATATTAAAAAACTGAATTTATGTTTATTACATTATAGTTCTATTAATAATTTAGCTATCAGGAGTCTTTTAGAGGCCCAACTAAAAATAACAAGTAAATCACGACCATATATGACAATTCTCCCCTCTTGAGAAAATCCTTGTCCTCAAGGATTGGTAGGTGGTATGGAATTCCCGTAGTTGGCTGAAGTCGAGCAACTGGCAGTGGATTCTTCCTTTTTTTCATGTGACAGAAACAAAGCGGGCGACACACTGGCCCTTTCAGCATTCTTACTAGCTCTTGCTGGGGTTGGCAGAGGAGCAGAGTTATCATCTTGGTTAACCTCTGGGAGCTGTGATGCCACTATGCCACTACTGCGTGGGAACTGATGCAACGCTTCAGTAAGGAGACATGGAAATCAGGGTGAATCTTCGCTTCTTCAGGCAAATCTAGACGGCCGGTAAGCCACTTTCCCCACCCTTACCAAAACAGTGTACGGACCATAGTAGTGAGCTGATAGTTTCTGATTTCTGCGTTGAATTGAATTTTGTCGGTAAGGTTGTAACTTCAGATATACTTGATCCCCTATTGCAAATTCTATGTCTACCCGTGTGTGCCTGCATAAAGTTTCATTCTTTCTTGTGCCAGCTTAAAATTTTCTTTGAGCTCCTGTCTTTTTTGCTGTCTTTGGGTAATTAGTTCCCAAATTTTAGTACTGGTTCCTGTAGAGTTGGGGTGTTGTGTCCATATGTTGAGACCATCCTGCAAACTCAGAGAAGAATTCTGCGATTTCGAAGAGACTTGTGCAAGGTGAGAAGCAGTTTGAGAAGGATTCTGCGAACAAGGATCTTCTGCTGGTGACGAAATCAGCGCATTCGAGGTCACCTGTGAACTAAGGAGTTCTGTTAGGGATGAAGTTGAAGCGACTTGGGATGACATCTGATTTTCAGTTGGCCGACGGAGTCTAGGAGGGCTCCTCACTTGGCCTGTAGGTCTCCGGCGACGCGAAAGTTCGCGCATCTTTTTCAACCAGATTCGCATATCCTTCCCCCAATCACTTTTCCGCCAGCTTCTCCACTTTTCCGTGCTCAAACTTTTTTGCTAGCTTCTCCCCTTTTCCGCGCGAAGCATCCTGATCAGATCTTCCATGTTCCCTGCGACACACGCTTCTCAGTGTTCGCGTGCAAACCAGGGGCAACTGACCTTCGACGTTCCCTACGCTGCTCCATTTTTTTTATCGTGTGACTTAGATCGAAGCTTCCCAGGGACAACGATTTTGATACCAATGTTAGGGACCTCAACAACGCAGCAGAGTTTTAGTATTATATTGATTAAAAAACTAAGAACACAGTAGTGATTACAATGGTAGAAACGAGAGATCAACGTAAACTGAAAATTACAGGGTTGAGGCTCTTCAAGAGAGCCTCACTCTCCCAGCCTAATTCCAACTGAAATTCTGGCTACCTTCTTCCTCCTTCCCCCTTTTATATCATTTCTCTTCTTAAGGGCTAGCCACTGGTCCATATTTCATGAATTACATGGCCCAAAACATTAACTTATACAATAACACTATTAATAATACTCTGTTATTCTTATTATTATTGGTTGTCTATGCCCCTATCAAATAATGATCAAACTCCACTGACTAATAAAAGCTTTGGAATGTTAATTATTACCATAGTCACTATAACTACTTAGTTATTCCTACTACTGCAGTCGGAGGACTCAGTGTTAGGGCACAGACACAAATCAAAGCTAAAACAGTAAACGAACACACAGATCTTATGAACAGAGATGGAAATAGATGTTTATTGATGAAATAGGTAATCCGTAGGCAGTACAGGGACTTCTTAGGCAACTGGGACTCTTAGGCAACAAGGCAACAGTTCTCAAAATAACAGTCTACCTACTAAGGCTATCCCAGCTTCTATTTATAGCCAAAAGTCCACGCAGGGACTAAATAGACAACTAAATAAGCTATAGACACTTAATAAGCTATTTAACTCCCCTAACCCCCTTATTTAAGACTACTGATTAGGATGATGCCTAACATTACTCCCCCCTAAACAACCACCTTGTCCTCAAGGTGGGTGATAGGACACAGCCTTGATTTTGAACTTCCTCTTCATCTTGGAACCTCTTCCTTCCCAGTACCTCCCGGATTTCCCACCCAAAAGAAGCTTGTTTATTGCTCCTTTTGCTGTTTCTATAAACCAGTCATCATTTGGTAAAGCACTTGGTACAATGCCCCTAACCGAATATGTCCTGGTCACCCGAGACATTATATCCGATGCTATTTGATGCACTATCCTGGAAGGGTATCCAGCAACCCGTGCTATCTCTACGGTGTAGTGCATTTCCAGCATTATATGCTGCAATCCATGTTGTGTAAGAGGAGCAGAACTATCCTCTAGAACACCCCAAAATTCTTGCTCATCATGCCGCCACATGACCCCAATCTCAATCAGCCCGGCAAGCAAAACCTTCTGTATTTTCTCCCTCCCAATTAGTATGTCACCCGCCACAGTTGCTAACTGCTGCAGCTTACAGTTCTTCACTGTAAGGAGCAGAAACAATATCTTGGTGGAAAAATGCTCCCTGGTGCTGCAAAAGTTAGAATCTCTTGGCATCTGCATCTCCTGTTGTGTCCTTTGCTTGTTTTCCAACATCTCTTTAAGAGAATTGACCTCATCTTGTTCAAGACCATGAACCATTTCAAAAGCATCTGGAAAGGGTAAAAGAATCGGGTAAAAGGCTATGATGACTAGGTTTAAGTATTTAATAAAAGAATCGGGTTTCATTGAATTTCATAATAACTTGTACAAGGGTTTTATCATTCTCCAAGTTCTTTTCCTGCTTTGAAGATAGTTCGTGCCTCCAGTTACATTGAATGACTTATGTTTCATCATCTGTCAGGCACCCTTTTTAAATTAGAAATTGCTCTGTCAAAGGAAATAAGAACACTGGCAGCTGAAGCTTTTCTTAATGCCAGCTGGTACCAAGGGCCAACTTCAGCAAGTCTAAAGTATGTTATTTTCACTTCATCTACTATTGTGAAGATCCAGGCCTCAGTTACATTTGAAACTAGAAATTTAGTCTTCTGTAAACTCATGTTTTTGTGTTGAGATACATAATAATATAATAATAGCGTCATAGATATATAATAATAGCCTCAGAGGAGAGTGGAATCGAGGGGAATCCGGGAAAGAGAAGAAGAAAGGGGAAACGGGAAAGGAAGGGAGAGAGTTCTTTTTTGCCTCAAGACTTCTACTTTTATGGTCATTTGCTTTGAAGATAAGGATTGGAAGGATATCCAAGTTCTTTTTTGCTCAGGTTTGAATTAGATTATATCCAAGTTCTATCATCTGTCCGGCAGCCTTTTTAAATTACAAATTACTCTGTCAATCATTTAAATTACAAGTTACAAATACCCTTTTTAAAGCTGGTTACTAGTACAATTCTGAAGTATGTTAATTTCTCTTTGGCTGTTTATTGGTCCATCAGTTTCACTTCCCTTTGCCTGTATGGTGTCTCATAGGTATTATTTTGAACTTGTGAGTGGAAAACGATTGCTCGGGTTGCATTTTGACATAGCTCAGCTGCTCAAGCGTTGATAAATGTGGTTCTATGGGGGTATACTGTATATTACAAATGAGTGGGAATGGGGCACACAGACTGAAGTTCAAAGCCTCACCACAATTAAGGAAGCTGTTTCCTTATTTCTATTAGGAGCAGCGGAGGAGAAGAAAGGGGGAAAGGGAAACGGGTACAAGTGAAAGAGTAGAGAGAAGGAACAGGAAAGAAAGAGGAAGCAGAAAGGGAAAGTTATTGAATTCATAATATACAAGGGTTTTATTATTCTCCAAGTTCGTTTCTTGCTTTGAAGATAAGTCTTGCCTCCAGTTACATTGACGTATGTTTCATCAAAACTCCAAAGGAAATAAGAACACTGGCGGCTGAAGCTTTTCTTAATGCCAGCTGAAAGTATGTTATTTTCACTTCATCCACTATTGAGTTTCTTCTTTTGGTACCAAGGTCTATTATGAAGATCTAGGCCTCAGTTACATTTGAAACTAGAAATTTAGTCTTCTGCAAACTCATGTTTTTGTGTTGAGATGTATAATACTCCCTCCGTCCCCTTTTAAATGTCCCGGAAGAGGGTGGCACGAGTTTTAAGAAAAGTGGGTTTGTGTGGTTGATATTAATTGATTGATAAAGTAAGAATGATTTTGAGCCACACAAACTTTACCAAATAAGGTATGGGACAATTAAATAGGGACATTCCAATATGGCAAAACGAGACATTTAAAAGGGGAGGGAGTGAGTAATAGCCTCATAGGTATCATCTATTACTCATGTTCGCTGTTTATCTACACATATGACTTTTCATGGTCATCGTTAAAACGAAAATGTGTTGATATTATCCTGCTAGGATTTTTCTCTCAACACCAGTATCTTCAGTTAAATACAATTGAGCTTGACGACCAATTAGACGCCACCTTAATTCCCATCCAATCTTAGCCTTTGAAAAACTGCCTGGGAAGTTACATTTCCAATTCAGAAAACTTGACTTTGCCACAGTCATGTATGAGTTGTGAGCGGTTATTTCTACTGGATAAGGAGTCTGTCAGCCTCATGATGGGTCTCTTGCTAGGGTTTCAAAGTAGACAAACTAATGTCTTCATAAAATTGAGACTGCTTAGGGTTTGTCAGTACGATAAAGGAATTGAGATCTCTGCTTTCCTTATCACAAACACTTGGTATTGCAATAATATCTCCCAGGGATCTCAATTTGATGAGCCCAGATGACCCTTCACATTTAATGATCGTTTCTTCAGATCTCATTTCACCCTTTTCCTTTGCATCAGTTATCAATACAACCCTGTCTAAGGCTATAACACACCTGTCATTGCATAAAACAATTGGAACCTCAGAGCAACATTTTCCTGCCCAAAAATTATGAATAATGTGTCCAAGTGTGATATAGATTCCTGCCCTAAAATACACTTGCTCTTCTTGGCATATAGCTGAAGCCCCAAGAGAGAGATAATTCTCAATCTTCCCAGAAAATAATAAACAGTCAAAATAGCCTCCCTCTATTCTCACTTAACATCTATTTATAGTATCCCACTAACAGAATGTAGTTATTATCTCAAACAGAAATATAACTACACTAACTCTTTTATTTAATATCCTAATAGGTCTGTCCCTAACAATTCTCCCCCCCTAAACATCCACCTTGCCCTCAAGGTGGGTCAGGGTGATAGGACACAACCACAATCTTCTTCATTTCCTTCATCCTAGCACCTCTCCCCTTCCAATATTGACTTGCAAAATTCAGTATACTCCTTTATAAACTCATTCCTTCTGCCTTCAATTATCTGCTCTTGCTTCTGCGTATTACTTTGTCCCTCCTTGTGCCACAAATATCCATCTCCTTGAATAATATGATTCAACCCTTGTTTCTTCCATTTTATGATCTGGTTTTGGAAATTAACTTCCATATCACCTAGATCAATCAACCATTCCATTCCCAACACCATGTCAGTCCCACCTAGCTCCAACATATAAAATTTCTGTTGAATTTAATTGCCCTGCACATTCAGTTTCATCCCTTCACATCTACCATAGTTAGAGATCAAGTCTCCATTCCCTATTTGTACCTTATATCCCTTGATACCTTGGAAAGGTATCTTCCATCTTTCTACAAATTGTTGGGATATAAAGTTGTGGGTAGCACCACTATCAATCAAGATATTCATCTTTGCTCATTTTCTGACCATTTCAATTCCCCTTTTACCTTGAAAGTATTCGTAGAGGAGCTTCCTTCTTTACTTAAGACTGACAACTGCGTAGTTTTGGATCCCATATGAACCCCTTCTCCTACTTCTGAGTCACTAGTTGCAGTTTCAGATCCTTCCTCTCCTTCAGATTGTTCCATCAGCACCATTTTGAAGTTCTTCATCCTGCAATTGTGACCCCGGTTCCAGTTTTCACCACATTTAAAACATAATCCTCTTCTACTTCTTTCTTGCAGCGCATTCTGTGATAATCTGGGGCTTGTTTTCTTCTGAACCGAATTTGAAGATTCCTCCTTATCATCAACTGAATAGTCGCCAGATGGGTTCTTGGTTGTACTAGAACTCCCTCTATAGCCATTTCCCCATTTATGGTAACTTTGTCCTGTTAGATTTGTCTTCCATACCTTTTTCCCTTCCTCCTTGTTTCTTCTAGACAATACTTCATGATTCTTATGCTCAGTCAATAGTGCTGTGTCCATAATCTCAGCCAGATTCCTCGCATGACAAAGCTTCAACTCAGCTCTAATGTCCTTCTTCAATCCATTCAAGAAAATTCCCTTAGTTACCTTCCTGCTTAATTCACCATGAGAAGCCACACCCATTTCGAATTGTTCTCTGTAATCTTGAACTGTTCCCTTCTGCTTAAGACCTAATAAAGGTCCCAGAGGGTTCTGAACCAATTCCGGTTGAAATCGCCTAGTTAAAGCTGCCTTCAAAGTTCCCCAATTCCTCTCACGCGTTTGGTTCTCCCATCCTTGGAACCAGCTAAGGGCTTTGTCCTCCATAGCTACCACCGCTACGTTTACCTTATCATCCTCTTCGATCTGATTAAGACGAAAATAACGATCAATTCTGATTAACCACCCATAAGCATCTTCACCGTTGAATAACGGTAAATCAATTTTCCTCCCTGTTCGATGGTGGTGGTGGTGACTATATTCTCTGTGTCGGTGATGATGGTGATGTGGTGGTGAGTAGTGGTTGTTCCCTTCCGAGTCATCTGAACTCACTGATTTTAGTTCATGTTGTGACTGACGCTCCCGATGGTGGTGCTGATGGTGATGCGTTGATAGGTATCGGTAACCAAGGCCGATACCTGGAAAACTGGAAATTGATGAAGAAGATGAATAGTATCGGTAACCAAGGCTGAAGCAACCCAATGAGCCGAAGCCCCCCAAAAGAGAGAGAATGATCTCAATCTTCCCAAATCCCAAAGACAAAGTCCAAAACAGCCTTCCCAACTCCTCCCTGCTATCTTCTATTTATACTAAACTAATACACTTATTATTATTAATACTCTAATAATCCCGGTCCCATTTTATTGTTATTAGTCTATTAGGCCCGGGTTCCTATCAATACTTCCCCCCAAAACATCCACCTTGTCCTCAAGGTGGGTAATAGGAGAAAGCCACAATCTTCTGCTTCTTCTTCTTCTTCTTCTTCCTTGCTCCTCTTCCTTCCCAATACATGACTGTAGGTTGGTCAAGGAGTTTCCATTGGTGAATCTTCATCCTCACTTCTAGCAAAAACAGCACTAGATCTTCTCCCTTCAAAGCATCCATACTATTCAGGTGCTTCTGTTCCTGCTGGTACTGATCTTCATTCATCACCTTCTGCTCAATCTTCCATTTGCTAGTAGCTCTTGCTTCAGAGTATAATGCAAGTCCTCGGTTTTCAGTTGCTTCACTGGGACTGATAAGAAGAACAGAAGGAACAACAATTTCAGAGGTAATAACTGAAGCTTCCAAATAAGAATCCTGTGACCTGGAACTGATAGGTGCCCACAATGACATGAATGGTACAGAACCTACTCCTATTTTGAATGTGGATAACAATCTGTCACAAGGAAATTCTGCCAGATATTCTTTGCCTAATGGGTAGTAGGACTTACAATCATCATCAACTTTAGTCAAACATTTGGGTGAGCCTCTAAGTAGGGTAGTCATAGGAACTTTTCCCTCTACAATGCTACCAAAAGCCAACTTCTCTGTCCATTTCAATCCAGTATCTTTGCTTTTGGGAGGAATTTCAGTCAAATGTCCTATATAACGTACAGACACACCACTTCCCAAACTGCTATGAATATACCCCTTGTTGTGATATTTTTCTTCCAAGGAAAATAATAAGCAGTCTGTTTCCACACATGTGAACTCTCCTTCACACAATCTTCTAGCTATTTCCCAATCTCCATGGTTTGTGGAAATTACACAGTGGTGTAACAACATGTCTGTGGAATCTGTCATTCCTTGATCTGCCCTCTCATTTACCTCCACCACTATATCTAGAGCACTAATTCTTGCTTCGTAACCTGTATACTTCTTCCAGCCAACCAAAATTGTATACTTCTTCATGGACATATAATTCACCAATTTCTTTTGTATATTTTTCATAAAAGTAACCCCTTCCAATCTAGGAATATCAAACTTATTTAATCTTTCCAGTGTATTGTCCAATGACTGACAACACATAATTTCAGTCTTCCTGATATTTTTCCATTTCATCTGCTGCATAGGATGAGAAGAAATGTCATCTACCTGAAGAAGCTTGAACCTATTGGTTTCAAGGTCTGACTGATCCAGATCGTTCTTGGAAAAAATCTTACGTCTGGGGAATCCAACAACTGATGACTTCTCATTGCGTTCCTCTTCTCCATAGGTGTGCTGCTGAATAGTCAACTCCTGCTGCGACACTGGAAACTCAGCTAGAGATTTTGAACTAGGGTTTTCTACTCCAATTGAAGCCAGAGGACCGGAATAAGTATCTTGCGACTGCGATGAATGATGCCTATGGCTCCTTGTTGGAAGTGCGATGTTGTCAACCTCTCCCTGATGCGGAAATCGATGCGAGGTGTGCGATCGATTCCTCGATCGGTCTTCCGATGCCTCTGAGTTAGTCGATTTTTGCTTATGTCGATGACGCGACTCCTTCTGCGAGTGAGAAGTAGGTTGCGATTTCATCGGCGACTCCTTCTGCGACGAGTGAGGAGAGGAGCGATGCGAAGAGCTAGGGTGGGATGAGCGATGGGAAGATCGGTGCGAATGGTGCGATGTATGTCGCGAACGACTTTTAAGTCTGTTCTGCACATCTGCGATGCTAGCTTGTATCGCGGCTTCCATCGCAGCCAGATTCGCCTCCATATCCGTCTGGAACTTCCGTAGACTTCTATCCATATTCCTTCCAAATTCTACCAAATTTTCCTCAACTTCGTTGATTCGTCTTTCCATCCTTGCGAGCGTGTAATTCATCCAGCGAACGACGAGCTCTGATACCAATGATAGGGACCCCAGAAAATATACAGAAATATCAAGAAACAAACTGGAAAACTGAATTGATGAAGAAGATGAATAGTATCGGTAACCAAGGCCGAAGCCCCCCAATGAGCCGAAGCCCCCCAAAAGAGAGAGAATGATCTCAATCTTCCCAAATCCCAAAGACAAAGTCCAAAACAGCCTTCCCAACTCCTCCCTGCTATCTTCTATTTATACTAAACTAATACACTTATTATTATTAATACTCTAATAATCCCGGTCCCATTTTATTGTTATTAGTCTATTAGGCCCGGGTTCCTATCATGCGTAGGTTCATAGTCTGAGTTTTCTCCCGAATCTCCAGAGTGAGTTGATTTTCGTGAATGGCGTGATTGATGTTCGTGCAAAGTGCGATGCGAAGCGGTTGAAGCTTTCGATCTACTTCGCGATCGATCTTGCGCTCGAGCGTCCAATCTGGCGAGAAGAGTCGCCTGCATCTCTGCTAACATCTCCGTGGTCTGTTGTTGATTTCTGTCTACTTTCTCTTCCAGTTTGTTCATTCGTATATCCATCTTCGTTCTTGTCCAGACCATCCACAAAGATCGACGATGCTCTGATACCACTGATAGAACTGTCTAGGTATTGAGAAAATTTACAAAATATTATCAAAGAAAATTTCAAGAACAAGAACTGTAAACTTTATTTATGAAGAAGCTCAGTAACAATGGCCGAAGCCCCTGGCCGAAGCCCCAAGAGAGAGATGATTCTCAATCTTCCCAGAAAATACTAAACAGTCAAAATAGGCTCCCTCTATTCTCACTTTACATCTATTTATAGTATCCCACCAACAGAATGTAGTTATTATCTCAAACAGAAATATAACTACACCAACTCTTTTATTTAATATCCTAATAGGTCTGTCTCTAACATGGAGTCATCAGAATTTGGAAGTAGCCAAAACGTAAATCAATCTTTGAGAAGAATTGTGCCCCCCCTGAGTTCATCCTAAAAGGTGAGTGATCACTAATTACAACTGAAATTCTGCCTACCTTCTTCCTCCCTCCTTCCCCCTTTTATATCATTTCTCTTCTTAAGGGCTGGCCCATATTTCATGAATTACATGGCCCAAAACATTAATTTATACAATAACACTCTATTAATAATACTCTGTTATTCTTATTATTATTGGTTGTCTATGTCCCTATCAACTAATGATCAAACTCCACTTACTAATAAAAGCTTTGGAACATTAATTACTACCATAGTCACTATAACTACTTAGTTATTCCTACTACTGCAGTCGGAGGACTCAGTACTATCCAGAGTTGTTGATGTTAATGAGTGTTATTACTCTTGACGATGTATACTTGTACTTCGTCAAGTGGTGATCTTGTAAATAAAAATGACATAAAGAATATAAAACCAACATGATACCCTATGTTTACTTGATTTGGGAACATTTACTATTATCATGAAATTCATACTTAACTCCGTGGTCATCCACATAACTCACAATAATTGTTATCTGCTCTTTGACCGAATTACTACTTTATCTAATGGTCTCAACTTATCTTTTTTGCCAGATAAGTACTCATACTAAATTTGGGATTGGAAGCAGGGGCATTTCCCCCAGCCCCCAGGTCCTCTATGCCCTAGCGGGAGTTGTGAGCCGACGAGGAAGATGGGAGAAAGACACTCTCTAAAAGCCCCTACTGGCTTCAAAGAACAAGACACTGTCTGGCTTTAAGAAGTAATTCAATATCCCAATTTTGAAATAACTTTCGGTCCCATATATGAGTCTTCTCGTCGTTAAAAGCATATAAATGGGTTCTAAATTTTGAAGCCATGTGAAAAATCAATGCGTTTTTATACATTTTTTAATAAAATAACTTTAGGTCCCGTATATTTACTTTTCATTTTATGTGGCTCAATATTAATTCTTATCAATGAGAGTATATATGCTTGATAAGGTCTGCTTCTTTAAGTATTAGTTCTTAAGTATTAATGAATTTTTTGCTTACAACATATGTACTTGATTGCAGTAAAAGTTTAACTAATTATGCTTCATATAATCAACCTAGATAGTTTGAACTTAATATTAATTAGAACTGGGGCGCAGTAAATTACTGCTCAATTGCAGTACAACATTTCTCTTCCGAAGTGATGTTGAAGTCACTTAATATAACATCTCTTGTTCTGGTTTTGATTTTAGTTTTAAGTTTCGTCAAAAAGAAGTCCTTGATTTATAAGTTTCCCAATTCACTGTTGATGTGTCCAACAATTTTATGTTATTATTAATTTATTATTTGTTTTTTAAAGGTGATTATGTCGTTCTTATGCTGAAGTTCGCTGGTGAGTGGAAAACAATTGCTAGATTTGTGTTTTGACGTAGCACAGCTGCTCAAACGTTGATAAATTTGAAGGTAGAATTTAGAATTTTGCCCTTCTGTCTATTACCTTAGGGATATCTATAGTAAGATGCAAAATGTGGGTATGACTAGGTGGTTCTATGGGGGTATACTATATATTACAAATGAGTGGGAATGGTGCACAACTGCACACGGACTGAAGTTCAAAGCTTCGCCACAGTTAAAGAAGATGTTTCCTTATTTGTATTAGGGGCTGTAGGGAAGGGGGTGGGAAGAAAGCAAGGAATGAGAAGAGGAAAGCTTCAGCTGCCTGTGTACTAGTAAAAGGGAAGTAGGTAACTACCTACTTGTGATTCTGGAAGTGCTAGTGTACTAGAAGAACCAGGGCACTACCCACTCGTTGGCAAATGTACTGTAGCTATTGTAGTTGGTTCTCCCCTTGAATGTTTTTTTATTGAAACTTTTATTCTTTATTGTGGCTTAGAGCCGTTTGCTTCTTTCACTGCTGTTTCAGATCTGCTAATATATGTCGTTGTTGCAAATCCTATTCATTCTTTACCTCAACCTTTTTTCTTTGTTTCAAAACATATAATATTTCGTATACACCTTTTACTTGCAGGAAAAACGCAGTGTGGAGATGTTGGATTGCCCCAGCCCCATAGGAGTACGCTTTGCTTAGTACTATAATTAGTTTTGACTTTTTCAATTTCCTTGGTTGTAAGGGCATATCTTTGTTTAATGCCCTTTTAGAACAGTACTCCGTATTTGTTTATTTTAAACATTGGTCTTTTCAGTTTTTTTTTAAATTTTTTATTTGGTGGTATGTAAAACTTTAAAATGGAAGGGGTTGGGTTCGATTCCCTGGAGCGGATTTTGGCCCCATCACCGCCCTTCTATTTTGGCCTTGCCCTTCTGATTTTTTTTTCCGGGAAGCAGCTAGAAGATGGTCTTACCCCAGCGGATTGCAATATTCAGAAAGCCTTCATTTTCACTTCTTTGGTGATATAACCTATTTGCAACTATGCTTGCGGGCTGCGGCTTGACTCTTTATGAGGACATTCTTAGCTGCTGCCAAATGCGAGACTACTTGGGATGCTGGTACTTCAGCTAGAAGAGCAATTCATAACCCTCTCGAGCAGTTCTTTGAAGCTCATAGAAGTGTGGAGGATGATAAACCTGTTGTGTATGGTGGGAGCTGGAAGGCATCTGAGCTTCGTCTCAAGTCCTGGGATGATCTTCACAAACTATGGTATGTACTTCTCAAGGCTCAACGTCAAATGCTTAATGCTCAAAACTTGAGATTTCCAAATCCAGAATGTATCTCCAAGGTAAGAAAGTCTATATGCCGAATCAAACACGTGCTCACAGAGAGGGCGATCGATGAGCCAGATCCTATGAGGTGTAGTGAGATGAAAAGAATGATAAATGCCGTATGAGAAGAATGATAGTTGTGTTAAAAGGAATGAATGAGAGATGCTGTCATTTGATCCAGTGGCAGATAGACAGGTAGTTTATGGAGTCATATATTTTCTGTTTCAAGAATTTTGTGCTGCCCAGATGATTTGTTGGAGCTGTGGACGTGCTCTTTTAAACACATTCTTTGCTAGCTCGTGTATCTGAAAATGGATGCTGTGGACGTGTATCCTGGAAGTGTTTTTTTATTTGCCTGATGTCATCCATCTCCTTGGGTGGGTAGAACAAAAGAGGCAAACAATTTTTAGACAAAAAAATGGAAGCGGTTGGGAGTTGGGGGGATGATAAATAAAGCAAAACTTTATATGAGTATGTGTTACTTGAGTTCAGTTCAAATCGGTTGAAATTGTTATTTTTTTTTAAATATGTCAATATTTATTATTTTTTATTATATTTAGTTTTGTACTAATAGTCTACCATATTTTGATGTGATATCTAGCCTTATTTAGATGATTTGTATTAAATTAGTTGATTTGTAAATCCCACATAATCCTCTTGTAATCACTCTCAAACGGCCGAAATGAAACCAGATAGTTTCAAATCAAAATTATTGATGTATATGGAGTATAAATTGGGTAATTTACACAAAAAGATCTTTGATTTAAACTTACATATATTTGTTAATCTATGACCCGATGTTTCGAACTTTCGATTTTTGCTCTTTTACGGTCAATTACATTGCTCGTACATAACAGTTTGAGTATGATCTATGTGCTTTTCTTGGTCAAATAGATATATCATACTCAAAATTCAAAACAGATTATGAGATATGTGATTAAGATTTATTAGTTAAATCTAAAGCAATGGAAACGAAAAAGGCTTGACTTTGTTTAAATTTTGTGTTTATCAAATTATAGTGTTTATGATAGGGAGGCATTCGAAAATCTAAATAGTGCATGTGGAATTCAGCTTCGGAAGCTCAATTGGAGCTACTCCAATGGTAAAAGTTAGGTATAAACTGCATCTCAACTAGAATATTTTTTTTTGTCTCAACTGAGACTATATTAAAATGAGGTAACTAATGTACAAAATAGTTAGTTTTATTCTTAATATGCATTTCCTCAAGTGAACGAGTTAATGCATCCCATTTTCTTTTGCAATTGTATTAAACTGATTTATCAATACTAAACTAATCCTGAAGAAGAAAAAGAAAAACTCTACCCAAATTAATGTTCTGTGATAAGGATTTCTGATAAGACTGTTCCTAAAAATTTACAATGTATTTTACTCTAATCATGTTCCTAAATTGATACTAAATGTCGCTCCCATTCCTTGTATGTTCGAATTAACTCATGTACTTTCCTTATTTACCATTTGGCACATATAGCTGGAGTTAGGGGAGAGCAAACCCGACCCTACCCGATTGACCCGATTGGATATATCCGATTTTATTTTTTGGGTCGGATAACCCGACCTGAATGACCCAAACCCGATCCGATTTTTGCAACCCGAGAGTTAAGCGGGTAGCGGGTAGGGTTACCAATTATGTTACCCGACCCGCCCGAAAACCCGAACTAGGGTAGTATATATACTACTTTGAATTATTATGCATGTTCAAATATCTCAATTATTGTATGCCAATTACCATATTATGCATATCAAATATTCCAATTAACGTATTTGTAAAACTATAACTTTGAATGTTGTATTGTTATGATTTTGAATGATATTTTGACCAGTTATCATTTTATTTATCACAATATCAAAAATGCCAATCACCGTATATTATTATTTTACATGTCCTAATATGTCGATTACCGTATTTATACAACTATTACTTTGAATGTTATACTAGTATAACTTTGAATGATATTTTTACCAATTACCATTTTATTTATCACAATTTCAACAATAATAAATTAAAATCCGAATGGACCCGAAAACCGAACCAACCCGACCGAAACCCGAACTTCTTCAACCCGAAAAACCCGATAAATTTTTTGATCGAGTAGGGTTTTAAATTATCAATCCGATACCCAAACAGGTTTACTATTTTTGAACCTGACCCGCCCGAACCCGACCCGTAAATTTGTTTAACAAATGTGGCTATTGTGAAGCATTATATATATATATATATATATATATATATATATATATATATATATATATATATATATATATATATATATATATATATATATATATATATATATATATATATATATATATATACAGAAATGCTCAGGTCCCTCCGGAGGGACGGGAGGGACCGTCCGAACTTTACTGTTTGGGGCGGTTCCCGGTGGAATTTATTGATGAAATTTTTTGAGCATGTTCCTCATTAAGTCTAGTTTGTCCATACCAAATTTCAGCTCAAAATTCGATCGGGAAGGCAGTCAAATAAATTCTTGAAGCATACTGCACATTCTGTGCATATATAAAGTGCAGTAAGTTTCAAGAATTTATTTGACTGCCTTCCCGGTCGAATTTTGAGCTGAAATTTGGTATGGAAAAACTAGACATGATGAGGAACATGCTCAAAAAATTTCATCAAAAAATTCCACCGGGAACCGCCCCAAACAGTAAAGTTCGGACGGTCCCTCCCGTCCCTCCGGAGGGACCTGAGCAGTCATATATGTGTGTGTGTGTGTGTGTGTGTGTGTGTGTGTATGGATTGGTTCCAGTGAGAAAGGAGTCCCAAGAGAGAAATAAGAATGAAATCTAGCCATTGATTCAACAAAATGGATGGCTGCAAATTTAGAACAATATCTGCTGCAATCCATTAATTACGATCGGTTAGTAGAGTTATTAAAGGAAATGATGTCTAATAAACATTAGTAAAGGGCATAACAGTAAAAGAAACTAAAGGGTTGACACACGTTGGCTATAATTGTGGAGATATTTTTAACCACATTACGTTTAACTATTTCCGTTTCTTTGTCCAAATTGTAGTTATTAATTACTTTCCTTTTAGAGTTTTCACTTATTTGAATTTGTGTAGTCGAATCCCTGGATTCGATTAGGTTGGTGCACATATATTCTTTCTAAAAAACAAAAAGTTGGTGCACATATATACTATTAATATAATGCACTAAGGGTTGAAGTATCGTGCACTGAGGGCTAGAGTATAGTGCACTCTTTATCGGTGCACCAAGGGATGGAGTATGATACACTTTTTTAATTTGGTGATGCATCAAAATTCTCTTGAATGAATCACAATCAAAGAGTTTGGTGCATTTTTTATTTGTTTTGTTGCACGTTTGAAATGTTTTTACATACGAAGTAATAAGAAGTAATAATGAAAGTAATCCAATTTATGAATTGCGAAGAATTGTACATAATATGCACTTCATATACTTGAAATGTGCAAATATAATTCACTTAAATTATGGATGATGAGTAAAGTGCAATGGACGACCCAAAAGTAAGGATATAATTTAAAAATATGCACAACATACACTATCTTTTTTAATAATGCACTTCAAAATATATAACTAAATGCACATTTTGCAAAAAATAAAAATGCAAATATAAATGTGAAGGTATTAATAAGAAGAATCGCATAATATGCATCTCTCGTCCATAGATAGTGCGGTTATTTGTGTTTTAGTTAGCATTGTCATGTATACAAAATAATACTCTGTATTACATTGGAAAGAAGGAAAGTGCAATGTGTAAAACAATTTAGTGCATTATCTTATATCACATACAACCAATGTTCTAAAAGGCGTAAGGCGTGTCGAGGTGGCACATCCAAGCCTTAAGCCTTTGAACCTAGGCGGGCTTAGGCGGGACGTAGGCGTGAAAAGGCGTTTCGAAATTTGTTATCATTTATTTTAATTTTTCTAAAGCTATTTTTAAATAACGTTATTCAAGAACATCATTTTTATTATAGTAGTACCTTCATCTCGTTGTAAGGATCCCACGACAAATGAATGTGAGGTTATAGATGTATTATTTCTAATATTTAATGATTAAATTATCATTTATAATTGTGAACTGTTTCTCAAAATAGAAATGAAAACCTTTATATGAGACGTACAAAAAGGAAAAATGAGAACATTTCGACAGGACGGAAAGAGTTATATTTTTGAAAAACCCTCTAATAAAAATGATAAGAGTGAGGATCTTGATAATGATAACAATAAAATAAAACAATAATGTATAACAATAATAACAATAATTAAAACAATCTTAATATTAATATCATATCAATAATAATAATAATACATAGTAGTTGTTAGCGTATTAATGTCAAGCTATTATACTAAATATAATTACTAATACGGAGTAATATATAAAGTTTCACAGTTTCAAATTTAAAAAGAGCACATGCAAGTTGTGGGTGAGATGGAACTGCACCTAGCAAATACGGAGTACTTTATGCAATTTGTTTTTCCCACACCGATTACAAAACATTCTTCAGCCTTCCAAGCGCGTTATAAATTCGTCCCTCGCCAACGCTTGGCCAAATCAGCGACAAGCGACCTGGTTGAAAGCTAGTTGACCGGCTTATCTTGTCCAGGACCAGTAGTTTTAATTGCTATGGGCTTCCTTAAAATTTGGGCCGTCTTTTGTCACGCCTATGGGCTGTGCGAGGCTTTAGTCTGACGCCTTGGGCCTGGGCCCGCCTAGGCGGAGCCTTTTAAGGCCTTTTAGAACACTGCATACAACACATAGCGGCTAAAAGAATTGATACGAAATGTTTACTAGGATGTTTTCTTTTGAATTGTTTTCAGTCCCACACCAACTATACAAGATCAGACTAGATCATCCCAAACCAAACTTCCGTAGTTACAAAATATACAGACACCAGACATTTAACAGACCAGATCAGACTAACAAATTTCAGTCTAAAAGAAAACATCTTATGAATAAATCATACGTAGTACTTTTATCTCGAATATATATTTCACCAATAAATATTCATAAACTGGAAAAAATTTAATAACAATCATAAAATATTTCAATGAAATAACAAAATAGAGAAACAAATATAGCTCTCTGTAAATTAAAATTATTGCAAGGCAATGGATTTCTCCATGTAAACTCACGGTAGTGGAATCACTACGGACAAACACAATGCTAAAAATGGATTCATGAACATATGAAACTGAAAAGGAAACAAACCATTATTAAGCACTTCAGAATATAAGGAAGCAATTGCACGAATATTAAATCAACTAACCAATAGAATAAAATGACTGAAAGGGGCTCACCTAATCAAAATGATTAAAGAGTAGTATGTTATGATCTAACGGCTGAAATCTATTCTTATTTCTCTCCTAAGATGTTTTTCTCACTTGATCCTATATATATATATATATATATGGGCGATATTGATGATAAAGCATCTTGGAGATTGTATATTCTCCTAGAGAGAGTAATGTTGTTGCAAACTCCTTCACTGAACAAAGGGATTTTACTGAGGACGACTTTCTGATTCTTGGATGGTCACAATTGTCTTATTGTGTAAGGGAAGCATCTATATGGAAAAGGAAGTTATTGTCTATCTTAAAAATTTCACAGAGTTCTATCCTCCTCCAACCAGTTCCGATGCATCGCCTTCTGAAATTCGGGACCCTTTTGACATCACTCATCCAGTTTGATTTAGCTTATGTGAGTTGGTTTTTATCTCCTATGTAAATGAGACCAGGATGCTGGAAGTGG